TGCCGCTTTTCCTTGTTTTAATTCTCTTAGAGCCTTAACGAATTCGTCTTTTGTTATAATTGGCCCTACGTCCTCTTTGTTTGATTCAGTTATATTTTCAATATTCATGTCATCTTCACCTTTCAATCCTTTATACAGATCTTCTATGTACTCCTTCCATCTTGTCGTTATTTCACCCTCTTCTAGAATCAATTTCCCATTCCTGTCTTTAACAATTTTGCTTCTTGGCTTCGGTAGCCTTGATAATTTTTTAATAATTCCCAGAGCCGTACCGAGCCATTTTTTATCCTGAGGCAGAACTTTAGAAATGCGCCCCCTTGAATGGGGGGAGGGGGTGACACACTCACAGTTTTTAATATTTTTCAATAAAATAATAAGATTAGGAAAATCAGTAAATTTTTAATTAGGTTTCGAGCTAAACAAGAAATTATATTTTTAGCCACAAGTTTATAATTCTCAACCTTATATTATAGGAAACAAATCAATTCAAATTTTACAAATTTATTTATAAGGTATTTCAAAATAATAATTAATAATAATAAAAATAAAATAATCATTATTTATAACGATATTTTCCTTGCTTTTGTGTCGGCAAATTTGTCAATAACTTCTTCGTAATCCAATTTACTAGCGATTTCTGTTTCTATTGAAATGATGGCCATGCTTGATAATCTCTCTTATGCCATTGTAGATCTTAAGTATGTTTTTTATCAATTTAAGTTTGCTGAAACTCCTTTCACATGAAGCTGTTGTAACGGGCATTGAGAGAAAAATCCTTATAGCAATTTCAATATTTGGATACGATTCTTTAAGCTTATAATCGTGAATTAATTGTAATAAATTCAAAAACGTAACTGATTCAATACTTGGCAAAATTGATAAAACTGCATGTTTAAAATCTTTTTTAGTATTTATATCTTCATTATATTTTAATCCTAGATCAGCAGCTGCTTTTTGCAAATCGTGTGAATTCATATTGGTTAATGAATGACCGGAAAGAAATTCAAAATCGTTTGAAATTTCCATAATTTTTTCATACCGCCATGTCATCTGAGTAAAAAGAATATCTATTGAGTCTATAATAGTAATTCGAAAGTTTTGTTCTGTAAAAATATTTATTACGTTATCATCTGTTTCATAAAGTTCTAATCTTTTTCTTTTTTTTGTTCTTGATTCCTTTAAAGTTGTCGATATTTGTAACTCTTCTGCAACTTTTGTAGCATTTGTAAAATTGTCTTCCATGGTTGTGTCACGAATTTCCTGCAAAGCATTTTTAAGCCCGAGTAGCAAATTGGAAGCTTTTTTCCAACGATAAGCTTTTGTTTTGTAAAGCTTGATTAACACGATCTATACTACTTAAAATTTGATTCCAAATATTAAGTAAGCAAAGAAAGTCAAAATTGATCAATTGAAGTAAATTTTTAGCTGTTGATTTTGTTTCCAAATTTAATTCTGAGTCAGAAATATTTTGTAATACCTTAAATACTTCTTTTATTTGGGAGTTCATGGCCTTAACAGCTTGTGCTTTTGAAGCCCATCTGGTATCTGAATGACCTTTCAATGAAATTTTTAATGTATCCATTAAAATTTTCCATCGAGTAGTTGATTTGACAAAAAACGTATATATTTTCTGAATCACATCGAAAAAAAATTGTACCTTACCATTAGGTGATGCTGCATGTACGCCACTTAAGTTAAGGCAGTGAGCAGCGCATGGAATGAATGTGGCTAAATTGTTTTTATTTAATATGACTGCCTGAACGCCATGGTATTTTCCTGACATGTTAGCTCCATTGTCATAACCCTGTCCCCGTACATTTTGTACATCAAGTTCATCAGCTTTTAATTTTGTTAATATTTCCATAGCCAACCCGTCCCCAGTTTTTTTCCTCCGTGTTTATGAAATCTATAAAACTTTCTTCAATTGTAATTTTTCCATCGTCAATATCAACATAACGAATCACTTCAGCCATTTGTTCATTATGTGACACGTCGGGAGTGCAGTCAAACAGCAAAGAAAAATATTTTGCTTTTTTTATTTTAGATAATATTTTATTTCGAACTGTTTGTCCTAACAAACAGATAAATTCATTTTGTATTTTTAGAGATATATAACTGATAGCTCCTTTGTTATGATTTACAAGATGTTGTTTTAGAATATTATCATATTTGCTAAGTAATTCTATTAAATTTAGAAAAATACCAGAATGTTTATTTCCTACTGTTATGCTCGATCCTCTAAATGCTAAATTATTTTTTGTGCAAAATAAAATTGCATCTAAAATTATACGAAGTATATGACGCCATCGATCTTTTTCTAGCAAAATCGCCTTTTGTAATTTATCGTCAATGCATTAAAAGTTTTTTAATCTATTTTCAAGAGATTTCCATTGTAAGAAATGATTTCTATGATCAGCCGATTTCTCGTGATCTAAAATACGAATAATATTTTTCCAATCCGAAAAACTCTCGTTTGTACATGCAATACTTCCTGTTTTTAAGGTATTTGATTTAAATAAACAGCATGGAAAACAGAATACGGCTTTACTATTTTTAGAATAAATCAACCAATTTATGCCTATAACTTCATTGTTCGGTAAAGTTTTTTTAAACCAATAAGGGGAAAATCGACGACCATCGACTGACATAGATTTGCTAAAATCAGCATCTTTACCTTGATCAGGTTCTTGCGTTACGAGGTAAACTCTAATGCTATCCGTAATTGGGGGGCCAAGAAGGTGGATCGTTACAATTTATAAGTTGAAAGAATGTTTCAAAACTAGTTGAAGAAGATGTAGGTTCACGAATATCCTGAATTATTTCACTTGATTTTGTTGTAATAGAACTAACACAAGTTTCAATTTCTTCACCTACTAATATTGTCTTATTATTAAATGAGTCATTTGAATCACCGGAATTTTCTTCTGAAATAAAAATTAATGATTATGAATACTATTTATTTCTGAATAGATCTCGGTCTTGCAAACGTACATTTGGTACAACGGTTAACGCACGAGGAACAGACAACAGTAACAATTATTTACGATAGACAAATAATAATAAAATTGACTTAATATAGATAATATATTATTGTATAAAATCACCAAAATTGTAGAAATCGTTTAAATAATTATAAATACTAACTACATCTTTTCAGTGGCGGTTTGAAAAGGCAGTGGCGGCGCCTCACCTAAAATTTTGTAGCAAATAATACTCTAAAAATATATTTCTTGGTTCACCGACAGCAAACATTCGCTAATAATTTTTAACATTTTTATGATTTTATTTGAAAAAAAATCTTCTTTATGAAGTTTAATAATATGAATTATCATTTATTTTATTATAGTATAATATTATTCCGTGTTTATTACCAAAAATAGCAATAAACCGATAAGAAATGCACGAAATAATAATTACGTAAACAAACGCTCATATATCAGCTTTTGGTACTACTTTGAAGAAACCGCCAACCGGAGCAGTTTTACAGTTTACTACCTTAACTTTTAATTAGAAAATAAACTAACCTTTATCTTCTTGATATTCTTTCAAGTTTGACACTAATTCAGTCGATTTTTCATCTAAAACAGAACCTTTAGAAAACCAGTCTTTCATTTGTTTTGACAATTGTACGTCTTCATTTGCTTTTTTTTTCTTAATACTTCGATTCTCTGCTCCACTTCGTTTCTTTTTATTATTCATTATTATTTTTTAATAGTTAAACTATCTGTATTGTTTAAAAACACATTAATTTGGTATAAATAATTTGTACCTGTTTCTTGTTCGAAAAAAAAAAAATAGAAAGCTACACACTTGCCGAGTGATCAACAAATACTAAGTCAAATTATTAAAATAGTAATAATTACACAAAATTTGTTCACTATTTATAAACTGATGTATCGTACGTATATCAACTGATATAATATAGATATTAAGCATGTACGTCGATCGATTCGTCGATTAAACAGAAAATAAAGATAATATAATATACTACTGTCTACTATTAACAAAATACCCATATAAGTTATAATGGTATACTATTCTTATCGGCGATCAACGTCGTCGTAATTTCGGGGAAAAAAAATAAACATTATGTTTACGGATTAGTGCGTAGAAATGAAAAATATTATTTTGACAATATTTTTCATAAATTAATCATTTAATATTTTTGCGCCCCCCAGCATTAGGCGCCAAAGGCAAACGCCTCGCTCGCCTCACCCTAGTTACGGCTCTGATTCCATATGCTTTGTCCATTCTATTTGCTGTCATATTTATTTTAATATTTTCGCATTTTAAATCCATCCATTTCTCCTTTTCATCTCTGCACTTCTGGGTGATACGGTTTTTTACTATTCTATACATTGCATCATCAGTCTTCTTTAGTTTATTGCGGTATTTTATTAAATCCATTATCTCATTTGTGATCCATGGTTTCCTTGGATTCAATTTCCTAAATCCAATTGATTCCACAGCAGATTGTCGAATATTGGTAATTACTTCATCCCACGAGGGATCAATACCAGCAGCTATCAGTCTGTTATAAACTTTGTTTTGGAACTCTTGTCTGGTTTTTTCATTTTTGGATTCTTCTACGTTCCATATGTTACGTTTGGGTCGCTTTGTAATTTTCATGGGTGCTATTTTGTACTTCATCGTTACCAGATTATGGTCGCTATCTATTTCTGCACCAGGATAACTATGACTTGTCATTATTTGCTTCTTGAAACGACTCTTTATTAGTAAGTTATCAATTTGGTAACGATTACTATCCCCTGGTGCTACCCATGTATAGTGTCTTCTTTTCGGTACTTCAAACATTGTGTTAGTAACTAAAAAATTGTTCTGCTTACAAAAATTGACTAATCTTTCTCCCCTGCTGTTTCTTGTTCCTAAACCATATTTTCCTATTATTTGATTGTCTTGTCCTTCCCCTACTACTGCATTGAAGTCACCCATAATAATTACATTATCGTTATCTCGAGTTATTCCTAGCAGTTCATCTAGCAAGTCATTCACTTGTTCAATTTCATCGTCTTCACTATTTGAGGTTGGAAAGTATACTTGAATGACTATCATGTTTACTGTGGATGTCTTCAATTGTATTAGTAGTATTTTATCATTTACATGATAGGTATTTTCTACTTGTAATCCCCATTCTTTGTTTAATAGTATTCCGACTCCGTTTTTTTCCCTGTTTATCTCCGCTATGTATCATTCTGAAGTCGTCACTCCAGAAATCTCCATTATCACCCCATTTAGTTTCACACACTCCTAGAATATCAAGCTGATTTAGTTTCATTTGCTGTTTGAGTTCTTCAAATCTTCCTGGCCTTAACAACGTTCTTACGTTCCACGTTCCAATTTTAGTTGGATTTGTTTTACTTTTGATCTTTTGGCATGGATTTCGCTGGTTGACGACCTGGGAAGCCATGCTCTGTCTCCCCCTGCCGGACTCCGGGTTCCGAATCCCATCGTCTTGTTTCCTATTCTTATGGTTGTCCTTCATTGCTTAATGTTTGGAAAAATTAATACAGTGGTTTCCCGTTGCCTTCTGTATCACAATGACATCACTTATAACTAAGTGATGCTATTCAGGTAAAGATGAATCTCTACTTGATACTAACAATGTTGCTGCCCATTGTTAGGCCCATTTTGGTCGCCTTTTACGACGGGCATGGACTACCGTGGATGTATTCTTTCCCCCACCCACAGGGAAAATTTTAAAGATATTTATTATAAATTATATGATATATGGAAGCCCATAACAAACCTTTATTTTTTTAACTTAATTGAGACACTAGTATTTTTATTATGTTACCCGTTTCACCAGGTATATTGGTTAGTTTGCAGATAAAAGTTTGTACAATCTCTAACTATGAAAAAAAAATCAAATATTCTAAAATATGCTAAATGGGCTAAATATTCTCTAACTTATGATGTATTCTTAAATATGCAAAAAAAAACTTTTTTCTACAAACTCAGAATTGAATGAATCGTCCACATTTTTTATTCTCATACTACTGCATAGACCAAGTAACGAAATGTAAAAACATATAAATCCGGTATTTAGTTATCACACTACAAACGGTTTGTTGAACGTAACAGATTACCGAGATACCGTTTAAAATTTGTGTTGTAGGCATAACGGTGTATCTTTCCAATTAACTTTCGATGGAAAATAATTTTTAAGTTGAACTTCGCTGACAACGAGAAAGAAAATAAATAAACCATTGTAAGGAGATTTCACTTTTGGAACACAAGCTTTTAACGGACGGCCATATGTCATTCTAACCGGGTAGTTTTTTCTGTCGATAAAAAAAAAATCCCTACATCGTTTTTGCGTTCGAACATGTGCACGTATTACAATACAAACGTGTATAATATTGTGAACACGAGCGTCGTCATTTGGTGTTGCAGCATTATATACACGGCTGAGGACTCTTGACGACTTAAGTATTTGCTCTGCATCACATCTCAACGAAATATAAGTATTTATTTTTTTATAAAAGGTTTATGTAATTGCTTATTAATTTATGATGTTCAATGAATAACGGTTTGATATTTACATCCGTGGATGTTGCACCACAACTATTATAATATAATGAATGGATGAATAATTCACACAATTATTGTGTTATGAAAACTTGGTTCCAACACAGATGTTCTTAAACGGGTGATCAGATATTAATAATTTATATATTATATAATTACACTTTTAACTAACTGTACAATAAATTATAAATTAATTTGGTGAATTATAATGAATTATTATACTCTGCTACAATACGACTGACTGATGACCTCTGCTGCAGACATCACGTCCAGCCTTTTTTTCTCGGCGGACCACTTTGGTAAACAATTATCTTAAAGCGGACCACCAAAATATAAAAGTACAAATAATATCAACATTAATCTAATAATGTTATTTAGTTACACATAGTAGATATACAACAGGCTTTATTGTAAGGTGCAGTAGGACACTAATTGTGCATAAAGAACAATAAAATGTGCTGTAGATTTAACGAACATGTGCACTTGAGTATTTGACTGTGAACTTGAAAAGTACAACAAAATTTACTTTACCACAGGTATTTAAAATTAGGCATGTGTTATTTTATTACGGGATAAACATGAAGTCAAATTGTTTGAATAGTAGGTTAATGAAATCTATTTCCACGTCTTTGGATTAATTATCTGCTTCATCAGAATCAATAAAATGAGCGTGGAGAGTGTGGGGCGAACAGTGTTGAGAATAGATAATGCAAAATTTATCTAGATAAAGATGAAAGATAATATGTCCAAATTCATCTAGATAAAGATAAAAGATAATTTCATTTTTATCTAGATAAAAAATGTTATTTTTTGGTCAATATTTCATATTCTAATAATATCTATGAAGACTCAATTATAATCATTGTTATCAATAGGTACCTAGGTGTTTAATGTTTATTGTAGTAATGTAGTTACAATATTTAATTATAGTTAATCACTAAAATGTTACACAAAAAAAAAAAATGAAAATTGCTCTGTACGTATCAGGATTAATACAGAATACATAAAAAATTATCTTAAGTTAACAATATTATTTTCCATATAATATCAATTTGATGATTTTCATTAGTCTATAAGTAATTACGACTTTACGGGTTCCAATAGTGTAGTAATGACTATTCAGCGTATGAGTTACATGTGTATACTAAAATCAAATACCTACTATATTTGGAACTTTCATGGAAAAATAAGAAATTAAGTTTAAAAATACCAAAAATATTTTCCCGACATGAAAATACAAACAAAATGTCATACCAAGAAATAATAATTACTTAAGTACCACTGTGTTACTTAATAATTATTAATAATACACGAATCATGATTATGAATACAAAATCTATATGTATAAAAGAAAGTCAGGTTAATTACAGAATTTATAATTCAAGAACGGCTGGACCGATTGTGATGATCTCTGATTTGTTGAATTCGTCTCCGTACAAGAATAAAAATAACTCTAATTTTGGCAAGAATACAGACAATTATCTAGATAAGTAAGTGTGCAGTTGGAAAAAATGCTTACAATAAAGCTTGATATACAATATACATGTAGGTACATATTGAATTTGTATTGGCTACTGAAAATATTATAGATTGAGGTCCATGCTGTAGGTTCACATTTAGTTGATCACGAAATCTCCAGGGTTTAGTGCCTTTCGGCTACAACCACGCACCTTTTGTTAGCTCTATGAAGAATTTACTGTGTATCGGTCTAAAATATATATAATTTGTTTCTTTGAATTTCTTATAACTAACGTTTTATAAATAGTTTGATTTTTTTTTTTTTTTGTACAATTTTTAATAATTTCAATTTTTTACGTGTGCCATTAACAATCGGTCAATGTGTGCTATAGATTCATCACCCCCTCTAGATATTATTGCATACAACGTGTTTATTTTTCACGGAACGATAACTTAGATTTCGAATAGATGTATCAAAAACAAAAAAAAAAAAAACATGATTATCCCATCAACTGACAGTGGAGAGTTTGGTTGTGAACGGACGCTCTTCCTCTCCTTCTTTCTCATTCTCCTTTCTCCGCGAAAACTCTTCGTCTTCCCCGGCGACGTGTTCCTCACCATCACCGTCTTCCACAGCGGCCATGGCTTCCTCTTCCCTGGCCGACTGCTGCGCCAACCAAATCTTCACCTCGCCGTCCATTTGGTCAAAGTCGTGCGGGAAAAACTTGATCGCGTCATCGATGCCCACGTCAGAGTCCGGACTAACGTAAATGGGTCCGACGTCGACGAACCGCAGCAGACTCTTGTCGTTGTCGTCTTTGAGAACGGACAGCACCAGCTTGCCGTCTTTGCTGCATGAAAACACGTGACGATGTACTATTACTGTTATGACTGTGCTATCCATTTATCATTATGATGATTATGAATATTATTGTCATGGATTGGTTATAAAGTATTTCAATCAAAAAACCGTTAAAATTATATTAGATAAATTAATATCGGTATAATAATTCTTTATTCGGTACAATATCCGGTACTTCTGCGATTTGCTGATGTTTCGGATCAGTTACAAGTTCTATTTTTGTAAGATCTAATCGCAAACGTCACACTTCTGTATACTATTTCCGACCTGTGTTTATACTATTATTATTGATCGCTTACTCGTTTGTTTGTGGATCCAAAACACGTCAGCACAAAAACCATTTATAACCGAAAAAATAAATATCATTATGTTTAATATGTTCTAATTAAACTCGGATTTTATGCACTAAATATATGCAATCAAAATTAATTTTGTTAAATTGTAATTTGTTCATTTATTTCATTCACACTTCTGAATACAATATAAAATCACCCTAAACATTAAAAATACCCATCACTATTAGTAATACGGTCTGGTTAAACAATATTTTAGTGAAAGAGAATAGCTATAACAACATTTTAATAGCAATATCAATATGAGTAAAATGTATTTATTATTTTTTTTAACACACAAATTGTATCTTCGTTGAAGAAATATAAAGAAGCCTAAAGATGATATTGATTTTTTGATTGTCGAATAAGCTGAGAATATTTTATTTTAATTAAATTGTTCTGGTTCAAAAAACAGAGAAATCTTTCTAAAGCGGACATAAATGATTATCCTATGGGGTCGATGCATAATTATTATTGTTTGCTTATTTTTCTCATGGGCTATAGGGAACAATCAATAGCAGCAAAAGAGAAAAACTTCTACGATGAACTCTTCCCCCACGTCTTATCAGTGGCGACGAACACGTACTTTAGGTATTTCAATGAACCGTCTAGAAAATTGGAATATTAAAAAAAAATTAATAATAATTTTCATTAATAAAATCAAATTAATTATTTAACGTATAACTCAACAGATGTTTTCTATTTAAAATGGTTTATTTAGTTATAGATGCTTTAAAAAAAATGATTGAATATTTAAAAGGATGGTAAATTTAAAGAGATGGATGGGTCAATCTAATTAATTGAATAGATAGTTTCAATTTCATTCGATATTACGTCATTATAAATATTATAGATATAATCATTGAACGATAATATGAAACATACGAACATTAATACTTCATAATACTGAGAAATAGGTACCTAATATCAAATTTTCGAGGATCATTAAAATTATTTTGTATTCTTAAAGTATGATACACAACTAATACTGGTCAATATTCTCAATTCTTAGAATACAAGAAAATCAGTCAAATATTGAAAAAAAAATACACCTTTTGCTATAATTTTTTGTTTTTTGTAATTTAGGAATTTTTAACACTAGATTATCTTTTCTAAAATGATTTTCTATGATCTACTAGACATGATCTTTCTGAATATCCATATTTCAAAGCATTGACGTAACAAATTTTTTGATATGCCAAATTTGAATTCTAAACTTATTTTAAATATTAAATTCGAGTTTTAAAACTTTTCGATTATATCTCTAGTTACAAAATTATACTTTTCTGAATAACTTAAAATTTGTTTTTTTTTTTTAATGAAAATGTAACTACGTTCATGGTAAAAATCATTCAAAAATCTGCAAATATCAGTTTTTACCCAAATAATAACTATGGGTCAAACACTGATTTTTTAAATCGAACCGAACTTTAAATTATTTTTTCGAACTCGAACTGAACCGAACCTTCATAATTTTTACCGAACCGAACCGAACCTATTATGATTTTAAGTCGAACACGAATTCGAACTCAATACTTTTTATCATGTACATTGTATCTACCTACAAATTAAATCAACCATAATTATTAATTACTATTGTATTTTAAGTTTTCGTATTACCCATTCTATATTTTAACTTTTAAGTCTAAGTAATTGTATTATTTATAATACATTTAAATTTTAGATAATTTTTTATTATTATTATTATTATTATTTTTCAAAACCAGTATTATGCTCTCTCGTGTTGTCTTGTAGCTTATAAAATATTCATTGAGTATTGAGTGTTGAGTGTAATATGACAATACAATCATTACAATTTAATAATATATAAAAAAATAGTAATAATAACTATAATTCACAAATATTAGTAGAATTTATAATGTAAGACGTAAGTTGTAAATATGTTTTTATTAACAGCACAGTCGCAGTGTCGGAATATTACCATGGATTTATCCAAAATAGATTTTAACCTCAACAATAAATATGATAAAAACAAAAATGGCTAATTTATGAATGTAGATACACTGCCTTTATTGGCGATAAACAACTTATTAATGTTTTGGTCGGCGGAGAGTGGATATGTAATATGCAACTGAAAAATAAAATTATTATTATAATAATAGCCTTATTATTATAAATAATGCATAATGTGTCCTTTACAGATTATCACTTTCTATCGCCAATAGTCTAATTATTTCTAAATAATCATTATCAAATTTTTATTTTAACTTTTGAAGAATTGTACAGATATTTGGTTTTCGAACTATCGGGGCCAGTAAGTCTGGTTCGACCAATATTTTCAAATTCGATTTTCAAACAGTAAAATATACTTGATAGTTCGGTTCGATTTTTTTTCATGTCGAGTTCGAATTTCGAACTGAACCGAACATCAAGGGTTCGGTTCGGTTCTGTTCGAGATTCGAACAGTTCGACCCATCACTACCAAATACAAATCAAATTTTCAACACAAACATTAAATTGTCTCAAAACATTCGATACTAAATAGCGCTAAAGTACAAAACCAAAGGTTGCTGACAGCATTTAGATACCCTAGTGATAAACAACTACTAAATCAAATAATAAAAAGGACTAAAAACTAAAATAAATCAATTAAAATAAAAGTAATATCAATTATTCCTAAAAATAATATTGACCACGAGACGAAAATTGCCGTTTTAAAAATTTCGTTAAAAATTCTATAATTAATTGATTATTAAACATACTTACCCTATTTTGTCCATGCCATATGTGGTTAATAACTCATAATCTTTGCACAGAAGTATTGGGTTTTCGGGATCAGCGTTACGAAAGAATCCGTAATGGTCGATTTTTCCTTCGAGATCCTCAATGATCGGTAGTACGATGTTGGATTTTTCGATATCAAATATTACGATATACTGAAAATTATAACAAAAGCTTTAATCGTGTGGAATAAATGAAACTATTTGATAATTGTTTTTCAAAATGTGAATAACCCAAGAACTATTTTAGCAAGACATTCATAAAGACACATTTTTTGCACATAGTTTATGACATAATTTTTTTTTAATAAAAATACTTTCATTAAAAAAAAAATGACATTTAAAATAGAAACTATATTTTAAAGTAGTTATTACTTATTTATTACATTCAAGTAAGACCCATATAATATGCTAATAATGCAAAATAATAGAATCGAATGTACATAAATATTTATTATCTATTTTAACTCGTAAAACTATACATTTTCTTAAAATCGTTTGGGCAATTATAAACCTTTATTAACAAAATTTATTTAAGGTAACAAAATTGCATTATAATTTGTAATTCTCCCTCGTATTTAATCGTATTATAAAAGATTGTCCTCTGCTCTTACATTTAGTATTTTTTTTTTTTTATGACCACTTTACTATATAGTATTCTATATTTCTATGTATTGATATATCTTGTAGATATCCTACAATATGTACAGTACAAGGCAAGCACATTCACTGTATGGATATTATACTAGATGAACAGCAGTAGGTATTTCCCGAGACACTCAACACGGGAAAACCGAACAACTGACCTCCTCTTATGTAATATTTTTTATATAATGATGTGCTATTAACCTGTGGCAAAGGCGGCTGGGGTGGGACGTATCCATTGTTTAAGCAAAATTTCTTAAACAAAACAGCGAGCGCGGCGGCTTTACTCAGCGGATTAGTAGGCGTGTACAACGAAGGTATTTTTACATTGGAACTGTTGACGATCATATGTTCAACTGCAAATCTAAAAGTAAAAAAACAATAAAACAATAAATTTACCTGTATCTAGTCACAAATAATATTTTAAATATTTTAAAACGAACACGCTACTAAATAATACGTTTAAACATACGCACCAATAATTTATATCTTTAAAAACGATTGTATTTTAACGACCTGTTTAATTGCATTACATATTATTGCGCGCTTAATGTTATTTACGTTACATTAAAAAAATAACATACAAAAAATGTATGTTTATCCCAAAATAGTATTAGGTCTAAATTAGGTGATACGTGGTAACACAAATACACTGGTGATGTTTAAAATACCGTCGGGACGAATTTAAATTTTTATTGACTGCTTAAGGCACTTACGAATCCGGGCTCGGGTTCAACGGGCTGCCGTTGCCGTAAATGATCGTGCTCAACCTCTGTTCAACTATCCCCATGTGTTCAGCGGGATCGGGCGGTATTTCGTTATCTACGGCTGCTCCTTCAGAGACAACATCTTCATTTTTGATCACAGGCATAGATAACATCACCGAAAATACTTTTTTGCTTAACAACTGGTCGATCAATTCGCTAGGAAAACTTTCTAAAAGCTCTTTATCCATAAAGAACATCTATAACGGACGACTTTAAAATATTATGTTTACCAGTACATTGTACCTATTACTATGCAATTTTAATTGTTTGAGCATCGTACGTATATATCCCAATATCCCCTGATATTATTATAGGACATTCGATGAAAATAAAACTATTCAACACTGCTATTTTATAGATTCTACTCGTATAACAAATAAATTTGATTGTATAAAAGTTTTTAAATATAAACTCATTTACAGCTATAGATAGTCTTGAAAAAGTCCTTTCTTTCCTTTCCTTTCGTTTTTTAAGTATAAAAATGCACCAATTTCAATAACACATTTTATACTATTTATATTTTATACTTTCATACTAAATAAGAAATAATTGTTGGTGATTAAAATGGAAGTTTATGGGAAATAAAACAACTAAATTGCTACTTATTTACCATTAATAACCATCAGTTATATAGTACCATTGTTATGGAAATGTACTTACAACAACCAACACCATTATGGCCACTTATACAAAGAATAAACTTTATGCTGGAAATAATACAGAAAAAAAACCTAACTCGCTACAAACTTATTAAAATTTAATTGATGTCTGGTCATCCGAGTGATGTATAACAAATAAACCCAAACAAATTAGTATAAGAACGATTCACTTTAAAAAAAGAGTTTTCTTCAATTCTGAGAAAATCCAATCCCAACTTCTCACGAAATCAAATACCTTGACACCATGCTTGATAAAATACTGAATTTCTCCCTTCTTAAATTAAAAAGAAAAATGCTCATAATAATATTACATTTACTTCACACAATGATAAAATTACAGATTCCGATTTATACTAAGCTCATTATGCACAAATCTCTCTTAAGACCTAATTGTGGCATATTCATATTAAATTTGAAGCTGTGAAAGCAATCCAAATTAGCTTGATCCGTAACTTATAATCTAACTTCACACTTGTCACAGATTGTAAAATTATACCATTATAAATCGCTCTACTCAAAACTGCAAACCCGCTAATATCATAATTATCTGTAGATTTTAACCAATGACTAAATAATAAATCATTTAAACTCTCCTAGTAAACAAAAATAATATTCTCGATATTTCATATAATTAAATAACCAAAATAAAATACATAAAAAAGCACTTTAGGTTCTACCAGTGGATGATCTCCTTCACAATAATCGTATAATTGTTTTTTTTTTCCTTTTTGCATACACCACAATGTTTAACTGTTTTATTTGCTTATTGTATGTTACATTGATTATAAAATATCTTATAAAAAACTAAAAACTTAACAAAAATGTAGTTATAATATATTATTTAACATCTTAACATCAATAAATGTGTGTGAAATTAACGTTATTACAAATATTAAAAGCACTATGTACTTTATACATTTAAGTTGAACATTTTTTCCAGTCCTTGTCAACAAATCAAGTATTAACATGTACTTGAATATTCACTTACTTGATTCAACTTGTCTTCAGTCAATTGCATTTCTATAGCTTCGTTAACCGTGAATTCTGCATATTTAGGAGAACACGCGGTGGCCACATTACATACCCTTTTTTCTACCATCACCGGTTCATTAGGCTCTTCGGACAATTCGGCACCTTCTTCGGGAGGTTTTTCTACCATAATGTACTCGATAGTATGAGGGAAATACACAACACACGTTTGCAGTGGAATGTTAACTGAAAATCGCCGCAGATAGTATTCTCTCGCTTTCATCATTCTATCGTCTGAAAAAATTATGCAAAACGTTATTATTTTCGACTTATCAGATCATTTATATCTATAGTAAACTACAAAGTCATTATTACAATATCATTTAAAATAATGACTATTCATTTCATTACATTTGTTAAAAAAAAACATCCAACCAAAAACGAACCAATACTAACCAATACACTATATACACTTTATACATTATATAATGATTAATAATATAATTTACATTTATAAAAATTTAAATGTTATTAAACTTAATACCCACCTATAATTTTTTTTTCGTTTTTAATTTTCTGATTTTGATAATGCTCATATTCTATCATTTTTTTTTTTTCCTCTTCGGTAATTTGATTCATAGGTATCTTAATTTATAATAATTTAAGCATTATGTAATATAAATATAATTTAGCATTATATTCAAATACAACCCAACGCTACTATAACAATAACATACATTCAAAAATAACTAATACAATATTTATACTCACAAACTCTCTTTGGATTTCTCCGTTTTTGAATTTAACGTATTGTTCTACCTCATCTGTTATTAAATTCATTAATCTTGGAGCATTGCTGCCAATAATAAGATTGACCAAATTTCCGTCCTTGTTTATAAATAGCAACAAATAAGTATTATTATAATTTTATCTAAATAAAAATATTGTACTATCAACAATCAATACTTACAAAAAAGAACAACCAATGAGGTTCACTTTTCTGTCGAAACCTTTCTAAAGCCATAATGTTATCTGATTTTGCCTAGAAGTTGTCATAAATCAGAAAAATAGTTAATGTAAGTATGTAAATTAATGTTTTAAATAAAACGTAATGAGAATATATTTTTTATTTTTATATTATTATGTGTTTTATGCATGAAACATACGCATTAAAATAATTTAACTGCATAGTCAACGAAACTTTTATAGACTAAAACTGTATTATTATAATAATTGAATGTGTTTATTTTAAATTCGTGTAATATACGTTTACCCGTGTATTCTTTATAACTACGTATTTAGAAAATATAATTCTATTTTTAAATAGCAATTTAAGATATTCTAGATATTTTCGTCTAAACTTTTAACCTAACCAAGAACTCTATCTGAGTAATTTAACTTAACTTAGTTTACAGATATCTACAACCATAGCCGTAGCTAGGAGAGCAATGGGTACCTACGCTACTGTTGGAATTACTGGGAGGACACAAAAATGATAAATTTGCTTTTTGTGTTAAAAATTGCAATGATAAAAGTCGTACAAATAATTTACCAAAACTTCAACGTCCTTATATTAATTTAAGTAATTGTTGAAAATAATATCTGATAGTGACAATATTTTTAAATTAAAAATACATAAGGGCACATTTTGAAGTGCCACCCCAGGCACAATATTTAGTTGCTACAGTACTGTCTACTACACACACTTATATACTGTGTAAATAATTAATTCAAACATAATTGTTGTTTAACTATTACATTTCAAAGAGCTATACTAAAAAACATGTAAAAAATCTTAATCCCATGTATCAAAAAATTAAATTGACACCTAACAACTTATAAGCATAATTCAGTCATACCTACTAATATACTGAAAATAGATTTTAAGTTATAATAGTGGTATTTTTGTATTACATTTTTTTGATCATAAAATTTTGTTGGCAAATAGTATTAGATTTTAAATTTTCTACTCAAATAGTGTTATTATTTCAACAACGAGCAACGACTCAATATAATGTTTTTAATTACAACTTCTAATTTTTATACTTCGTTGAACTTATTATTCTTATTAAAACAATTCAAAAAAAAATTATAAAATTAAAACACTTACAACAGCATAATGTAAATTTTCGTTTCCGATTTCTAGTTTGATTTTTTTTAAATTTGCTATCATTGGTATACAAGGACCACACCATTCTGCATAAACGTCAACGACTAAATAAAAAATAACCTAATATTTACAAATATAATTATTTATTTGGTTTTTCGATATATTTATATTTACCATAAATTCCACTTTTTTCTAACATTTTCACCCAATCATCGTTATTATTGATTTCTTCTTGAAGCACTACTTGCGCACCTTTTTTGGCCATCCGACCGGATCTCTTATTTTGATTAACCTGCTTATAAAATTTTAAGATATGTTGGTTAAATTTTTTATGTTAAACACATTAATTTATTGCTTATAATAACAATTTAAATATTAATGTGATTTCTTTTTAATTATTTCTTTTTTAAAGTATTTGTGAATAAGAATTATTGTTTTTATTTTTAAATCTCATTATAATTTAATATGATTTTCTATCGTACCATTTGCATTATCCTTAGATATTTAAGTTAAAATAATGTACTTTTAATTACGTAATAGTGGCTCCGTCAACTGATAACAATTTTAAACACAAATGTTAAATACGTACGAGTATTCTTCAAAATTAAAAAACTCTTATTCTCTTCTATTTACAGTGAAAAATAATTAACTTGATATTTTATTAAATTCCCCATCAAACATAATAGTTATGTCTACTTGCATAACAAGTAAATTATACAAAAATAATATTATTATCCCTTCATGTCATAATTGTGATGTGTAATTATGGAGAAAGTTAGATAATATATAAATAATATATATTAAATGATAAATCACCATATAATCTTTTTTTTTTTTTTTTTTTGATTAAATTTTTATAAAACTGTAAGTTATAATAATTACAAAACAATTTATTAAAGTTCATATTATACAGTGCTTGACTTGATAAAATTAAAGAAGAGGGACTCTATTTGCTTTAAAAAAAAGAGCGTCCCCAAAACTTGTTATAATTATAACGCAATAATAATAGGGGGAAGCTAAAATTTCTGAAAATTAGTTGGGGTACTCCGCTCCTAGCATCCCCTTCAAGTCGAGCACTAAGTAGAAGTACAAAGAAGTATAAAACCCACTAAGTGGCTGCACTTAAGTTAGCCCTTTTCAAAAATACATATATATATTCATGTCAAAAAGATCGCAACTATTAGAATAATTATGTCAATCAATAGGAATTATATACGAGTATACTAACCCATAGGTAATGTAAAACAGCTTTAATATTGACAATCAATAATGTTAATTGAATACTAGATATTTACCACAATACAGAAATTATTTATTACTTACCGTTTTTGGAGGCATTTTTCTATTATAATAATATTTGGGTTTGACAAATAATTGAAATATTTACTACCACCACAATTCAATACTCACAGCACTATAAGCACTATGATCGGTAAACACATATTACTCGGCTATTTATATAAGGACGTTCGGATACCCCGTATACTCCCATTCACTCCGTGACATTCGAAAAGTTTAAATACTTACTAGGTGAAGTTTCAGAAAATAGATATTTAATGGTCGTAATGATACAGTATAAATTAAAAGCGTGCGTACATGGGGTGAACTGAAAAGTTATACAATGCGAATGACGTGTATAAAGGAAATTAAACTGTTGTTAACAATGCAATAGAAACCTCAACGGGCTCAACGAACCAAACAGTATTTTGTACTCATACAATAATACACGAAATCGGCGATAATTTCTTAGTGTTTTTATTTTTATAACATAAATAAATGATGAAATACGACAGATGCATTAAATCACTCTACTTTTATAGTCTTGTGTTGTAATCGAATGACAATTCCTACACCAATGTACTTGTATATCGTCAGCGACGTAAATTGGGTCCTGGTGGTGAAGAGGCATACTCAACTTATAATTTCCAACTCTCCAATTTTCCAACTACCTAAGTAAAATCCTTCCCATTAAACTATATATTTTCCCTTAAATTTCTTTATATAGTAAATACATTTTGAATTATTTTAACGGTCAAACCTTTATTATTATAATATTAATAAAAAAAACAAACATTTTTTTTTTATTATGCTGGTTTTCTTGGCTTTTAAAAATATTATTATAGGTTACAAATTTCCATGATATTCTGGTGGTGCAAGTGCCACATTTGAACCACCCTGTTTATGCAATCGTTATTTATTTCAATAATTTAAGTAATATACATGTAATATGTTAAAAAGTATTTTTACAAAATATCTTTACATGCATGTCTAAATTTAGTGACTGATTTATCACATATTATCATATATTCAGTGCTCGACTTAAGGGGGGACGCAGGGAGACGGAGTACTCCTTCTAATTTTTAGAAATTTTAGCGTCCTCCTACTATTAATACGCTATAATTATAACGCTCAACAAGTTTTGGGGACACAATTTCTTTTTAAGCAAACAGAGTCCCCCTTCTTTAATTTTGCCAAATCAAGCACTGCATATATACACATATTATCGCACTTGCTATTAACTTCAAGTGCATTATGATCTGTAGCAACTTATAGTAATAATAATCAAATTATAAAGCGAATGAAATAAAATAATTATAAAGTAATAAAAACACAAACATTTTAGATTTGTAACAATTCTACGTAAATTAATCAATTGTTTAGTCACTCCTTTGGTTTTTCTAAGAGTTGCATTTCCACTTAGTATTCCACTTAGTATTTTAACAATAAATTACATAATTACAATGTAAGCTTATAGATATTTATAATTTACCATAATTACACTCGAGTTATTTAACTTCAAAATAACTAACAGATATTTAATTTATTCCTTCGTAATACTAAAGAATAAGATAGGAATTTCATGAACACTTCAATTAATTGCTGAATTAATTTTATTCGAATAATATTATATTTATAATCACAAAAGTTATCAGGACAAATCAAACGCTATAAACTTATTGCGACATGAACATGTGTTAACGAACAGTGTAAATTTAATTATAATATACTATAATAATTAGATAACAAAGTTTCTTGGCCATACTATTTGCCATATTCTCAGAAAACTTATCGCATCAGTTTACGGAAATTACTCAAGAACTAAGAATGCCTTAAACATATTAAACAGACATCAACCCAATTCATTTTTGAGAATAGATCATAACTTAACTCAAATGTGTGTGCATGTGTGTGTATTACTTATGTTCTATAAGAAGGTGTAAACTTATAAATCACCCGTAGTCAATATCAAGTCGTATAATGAGTATGACAAGGGAGAGATTGTGAGAGATAGTTTCGATAAAATCTGGTCAGGCCCAGGAGCGTATTCAGAAATATTTCACGGGGAATAGGGCGCATAGCCATATTTATACAAATAAGATATATATAATATATATATAAATCAAAAAGCTACAACTAACCATATTATGGTTAGTTGTAGCTTTTTGAATAAGGTTAAATTTTCTATTAATTAAAGAAATAATTATTTCTGTGATATTTTAAAATAACACAATTTTATAGTATTATGTGTTAAGTTAATATTATACTTTATTTTTATTATACGAAGTCAAGTTATTGTTGTTTTTCTTAAAAAATGTGTGTGTCAATTATATTTTTTATGTTATTTTTACTATCAAAATGTATATCCTAATGAATATACATACGAGTATAGAATCAATCCTGTCCATCTTTCTGCTCCCAATCTGGCAAGTTCTAAGCAGCCTTAAAGAGGAAACACTTTTTTCTACTGTTGCAACAGAAATTAGCAATCTAACTAAAATTATAAGAAACTAGCTGAATTACCCGTCAGTGCCGGGTTTAAGTATAAAAATCTATGTAACCTAGCAAGATTAAATTTTGTTTAATCTATTGAAATTTAAATTAATTAAGAATATTGAAATAATATTTTATTTATACATATTTTTATTTAGTTATTAAGATAATAATTATTATCATAACCCATCAGTTCCCAAAATGTGCGCCACGATGTCTGTACAGGGGCACCGCGCCGTCATGAAATACTATCGGGTACAACATTTTCTTTATGATTAGTCATACTATGGCTTGGAGAAGGGCGCCCTGAAAAAACCTTAAATCAAAAAAGGCGCCATGAGTCGAAAAAATTTGGAAATCATTGTGACATTACCTATTCTATAAGTTAGTTTTTAGCGACCATAGCTTTGTTGGCGATAAGTTTTAGCAGTGAAGGTTTAAAATAAATGTTTTACTAATAGTTTTTCAAAATTTTATCTAAAAAATTTCTCTATAGACAATATTCTTCGCTGATCTATTAGTACGCGACAAAATAACCAAGCTACTGGGTGAACTTACGCGTGAGCAAGCTACGTAGAACTGCCCAGTTTTCTCGCAAATATATTCCTGCAAATTTGAGAGTTTGGCCTTGAGACTTGAGAATCGTTTTAATTCGAACAAAAGATCATTCGGAATTAAAGGGATTCGTGGTACAAACACTGTTTCCCCTTTTACACATCCAGTTAAAATTGTGGCTTCTACTATATTGCGATGTAAAGTTTTGTCTTTAAGCCTAATCCCATTGCACAGTTTAGGTGGTTTCAAATTTTGCAACAACATAATAGGTATGCCCACACGAAGAATAAGCCTATGATGTGGCATACCCGGTGGCTTCAATGAATTTAAAAATTCAACCGGATAATTAGTTGCATCGTCTATGTTGACCACCACCGTATCTATCGGAGTATATACTTTTTCTTCCCCTTCAAAAGACATCAGCAGTTAGCCACCATTGATAGCCACCGCTTGGTCATTTTTTGGAGTGAGTATAGCACGTTCACACAACCATTCCATAGGCTTATCATGAATATGAGCAATATCTGGATAAATTTTTGATATTAAATCCTGAACCGTAGTTACAACTGTGCATAAATTTTCTGGGATAGTTATCATTTCAATAACTGATGGATAATCACCATTGCCAATTTCAAGTAAAAGATCTGCAAACCTACCAGAAAACTATTCTTCTTCCAAGTATACTCTCATATTTTTCGACAGTTTGAGTATATAAATCTGAGGCCACAAAGTAGATCTTTTAAGACATGACTTTATTAACTTCATCAGTTTTGGTCCTTTTTGGTACTACTAGTGAAGTCTGCCTAAAGTCTCCAGCCCGCAAAACCATTACACCACCCATTAACCTTTTATTTCCCCTTATATCTTTTAGATATCTATTTAAAGCCTCAACACCACCCTTATGTTCCATTGTAATTTCATCCCGTACTATTATTTTTGTATTTTTTAAAACTTCCGCAAAATTACTTTGTTTTAATATATTACAAACGAGAGTGATCGAAGTTGTTAGATTGAAAGTTAGTTTGAAGGTAGCATGTGCAGTTCGACCACCCTTGAGCAGTGTAGCTGCAATTCTAGAAGATGCTACAGCTAAGGTAATCTTGCGAGTACTTCTAACTTTCGCTAAAATCAAATTGATTAAGAAAGTTTTTCTTTTTTTTTTTAATTTTTACACTTTTTAACCCTTTAACTTAACTCCCTTGGGGTTGAATTTTAAAAAATCCATTCTTAATAGATATCTGCATTTTAAAACAAAACATTTATATGCATATATAAACAACACATTTCATTCTCATAGCTTCAGTGGTTTTGGCTAGGTGATTTTTCCCATATTTACACTTTTTAACCCTTTTAACGCTCTTAGGAGTTGAATTTTGAAAAATCCTTTCCTACGGATGTCTGCATAATGCAATAAATCTACTGACTAAATTTCATACTCATAGATTCAACGGTTCCGGCTTGGTGGTTTTTTCTATTTTTACACTTTTCAACCCTTTAGGGGTTGAAATTCAAAAAATAAAGTTTAAGACAATGTTTATTTGTTTTACAGAGTATGTATACTTAATTTTAAAAAATCAGAACAAAAAAAAATACGTTTTTAATTTTTATCTTTTTTACTTTTTTTAACCACCTTAGAGATTGAATTTTAAAAAATCCTTTCTTAGCGCACTCCTATATCATAATAGCTATTTGTATGCTAAATTTTATCCCGATTCGTACAATGGTTTAAGCTGTACATTGATTGCACAGTCAGTGAGCTTACTGTTTTATATATACAGATGATTATGTATGTATTGGATAGTAACCTTTATCCATATGATTTAATGTCTCATGAGTAACATTTATTTTCTTAAACTCAGGATTTACTATTAAAGAACTATTGTTTAATTTTTAACCGAGACGACGTGTAACATGCGACGATCAATGATTTCCTGTAGTAACAAAAATAAATTTTCAATAATTCTTATTACAGTACTTTGTATAGCATATGCGTGTTAACGAGAGGGGCCAGATGGGCACTGCCACCCCCCCTCCCCCCGGTGGAATGTACCTCTAACAAAATCATATCAGGATAAATCTGTATTCAATACCTATCGACAGTTTTAGTAAAGACAGTAGTACAACGTAAGTGTTTTTATTTGAATTTTAAATGTATTTTTATTATTCATATTAAAAAAAAAAAAAATAATAATAATAATAAGTCTCATGATTTATACATTTGTTGTGCCCCTCGGCCACCAAAGTCTAAACACACTTATGCTGTAATAATATTATCGATTGATAAAAGTTGGAACACAATTATTGGTGTGGCTTGTATGTAGAAGAAATTATAACCGATTCTATACAATGTAAACGGCTCGTATTATTCTATTGGTAGATGCAGGGGCGTCATTTGGTGGGGGGGGACAGACTATGGCAAATACCTCACTCTAAGAAATTTTAAAAAGTCGGCAATTTTTTGTCTGATGATCAAATGCTAAAATCAGTAAATAGTAAATTTTTATTTACTATTTTGTACTCAGAAATCAGATAATATCCTCTTTTAAATACACGTTCACAGTTAATTAAAAGTTGGGAAATAATGGCTCCTCCCCAGTTAATAACAATCATTATTACGCGAACCTTATAAACTTTATTTTTGGTAAATTATATATTTCTATATATGTTATTTTTATAAAACAGTTTTCGTGATATCGATACCATAAAAATTGAACTTATAATCTATAAAAAACCGTTAAAATCGTTCCTATTCGCCCCAAACTATAGTACATTATATTTGACATACAATTTTATGATTTTATAAATAAGTTCTGTAAAGTATTAAATATACAAATAATAAAATTTTAAATATTTATTTAATTAAATTTATATTGTTATTCCATTAAACCTATTGATAGGTAACTTATAGCCCCTCTCTCTCTCCTAGTAGACATCTCCTATTTTCATTCCTATCCACTTTGGGTTATCTTATTCCCGATTCAAATCTTATCCTTAACTCTCGCTCTACCCATGTCATCAACTCCATCATTAATTTTATCATTTCCGTTGACTTCTTAATCTGATTTGTATGTTTTTTATAAATTTGTATCTTTTCACCACATAATTATATTGCTGTAATGTCCTCAACAATAGCAAATTAAAAAAAAAAAAAAAAAAAAAAAAAGAAAAAAAGTAACTTATAGCCTATAGGATAAGTAAATGAATTAATGTTTTACTATCTATGTTATTATTTGATTGGGTAAATTGAAACATTTCATGTTCTTTATTTATTATCATGAACAGTGCCGTAAAAACTGGGTGTGCAGAGTGTGTCGCGCACACGAGCTCCAAAACTTACATAAATTTGGGAGCCCTCTAGTCCCAGCCTGAAATAAACTACACTTTACAAACACTCAATTATTTAATAATAAAAAGAAATTTTTTTAAAATTCAAGTAAGGTTGTTATCATATTTTAGAATAATATAATATTTATTTACAACAATTTATTAACAATGAGTCCATTGAGTATTTGAGTAGGCATACAACATACTTACCTAAAATACTTAAATAAATTTACTACATAAATATGTAGTGAAGTATAATATACAACAGTTATAGGTATTTAGTTTGATATACATACATATATCATACACTAATTGATGTGAAACCTGTTTTAAAACCTAAAAAAATTGATACTTAAATTGAACAAAAATAATTCTTAGGAAGGAGCCCAATATAATTACCGCACACGGGCCTCCTATTTTGTAGTTGCGGCACTGATCATGACATCATTATTCATTACTAATCTTTACATGTGTTGTTCCGAAAAAATATTTTATTGATAGCCTATTGTATGAGCGTATTTTAGGGGGTGAAGGGGTAATCGCACACCCCTGAATCTGTATTTAAGAAATTGATTATATGTGAGATACACAATTCAAATTTTTTTTAATGTGGATCATTTTATAACAAAATCAAATTACACGTGGCTGTGAATACTGAATTGGGCTTTTTGTCGAGTCCATACTTAGTGAAAAATCAAATAAAATACAAGCGTAAGTTTCAAAACACATACAGGTGTTAAAAATAACTACACAAAAGTAGATTCTAAGGGGATCCGGCATTAGATTAAAAAAAAAAAAAACCACAAATATTAAACATTTACCTGATTTAAATATTACCAAAAATTTTACTTGTACATTTTGAACCTGAATTAAAGAAAAAATTTGAATCGTCCCTCCTAGAAATTAGTCTAAATACGCCCCTAGTCTATCGTTCATAAATATTAAATATTTAAATATATATGTAATTTTTTAAATATTATGAAGTCGGTAAATTTATTCAAATGCTTCACCTTTTCAAAAGTTGAAACGATGCCCCTGGGTAGATGAAAAGTTAAGGATTCTTAAATAATCAATAAAAAGTAATTCCATAGTTTTTTTTTTCCGTGCAAGAAAAAAACTTTTTTATGAAATTTAAGAGGAGACGCACGCCCGACTTGAAAGAAAATTCATACATTATTGTTTATTTTTGTTGTGCCGATTTTCTCAATTTGACGCTTTTTCCACCTACTGTCGATTATCGTTGTACTCGTAAATGCAGCCGTCGATAGAATATATTTTCACAGACAAGTTAGCTGTTCAAGCTATGCAGACATTCATTGACGTTTATTTATTTTAAATCGTGGATATTTCGTGTATTTTTTTATTAACTTCATACCCAACATAACATGTATAATTTTGAACCCCCCGTCTTAGGACGATTCCTATGCACGGGCCTGTTTCGCCTCCCACTGAAAGAAAATAGCAATTAATTGCGAACACAGCGCAAGCGGGTGCACGCACACGCCTAACCTATGTCGAGAGAGCAGTGGACGAAAAATGTCACGAGGGTGGATGCCACCCGGTGGCAGGAGACTATACTGTCTTCGGTCGAGGTGTGCAGGCCCTCAGTTACCGGTTATATACAAATACGGTTTGCCCGTCCATCGTGACCGAATGTTAACAAGACATGCGACCGGTGCCGGATCAACCTATAAACAAATTGAGCACTGCTTAAGGCCCACGAAAAAATATGACCCGTAGAAATATTGACGTACTAAGTCGACGATCCAACTAGACCCGTGAATATGTTCGACAGTGTATCACAGACAAAAACGATCAGACCGCATCCCGATTAGACAAATGAACGGTTGCAACGATGACAGTGATTAAAATGAATGTACACGTGTCTTAGTGTTAACCAGTGCTCGACTTGAGGGGGGAAGCAGGGGGGCGGAGTACCCCAACTAATTTTCAGAAATTTTAACGTTCTCCTACTATTATTACGCTATAATCATAACGCTCAGCCAGTTTTGGGGACGTTCTTTTTTTTAAAGTAAATAGAGTCCCCTTCTTTAATTTTGCCAAATCGAGCACTGGTGTTAACCTATGATTTAAAAATGTATTCGATACGGTTCCAATATTATTTATATTCATACGTAAAATCATAAAAAATGAAATTTTTTTTTTCAATTTGTAGTTCAGAAGCACGGTAAGGATAGGTGTATACTTTCTTTTACTCTTTAAGTCTGACTTATTTGCTTAGGGCCTGCGAAGGAATTAATCCAGCAGTGCGTGCGACGCCCGGCGGGTCGCCGAAAATAGAAGGAACGGATTACGGAACGAGTAAGCTCCCCGATATAGGCACAACTAGGGAGGGCGCAATAGGGTGTTTACAACCCCTAAGTTTAAATTTAGCACCCTTGTTTTTTTATCCAGACCTATAGTAGTTACAGTTAAATACTATTAAATTTTGTTTTCAGCAATTTCAGCACTCTCAATATCTGGGATCTAGTTGCCCCCCATGCTCCCCGAACAGCGTGAACATTACGTACGCACATTTGTGTATACGTGATGTGTACGCGCTTTACAAGAGCACGTCGGGATAAATGTTATTATCATAAATTATTACCATTGTACTGTTGTTGTTGTTTTACTACGGGTCAGCGCCGTTCGCGTCAAGCATATCTCCCGCCGATGCGGCGAGGGAAGTTTACCATCGAAAACGCGCGAAACAATCGTCCAACACGCCCCGTGTTTTATTGCACGCCGGTTGACGGTTTTACGGTGTTCAACGAATGACGCGCCCCGAATTATTGGCATGCAATTGGTGTGCATTACAATGTCGACGGAGTCGTAAACCGGACGGAGTGTTGTTACATGTTTGGTAGACGTTTACATCGGCTGTTCGTGCCGCAATTATTAAAATTATACGTGGAAAACTTACCCGTGTACAGCGGAACAACAGTTGAATCAACGACGGTGGATCCCCGGTGGATTATGTCGGTTTTTCTTATGTATCTATTTATTTTTACTCGATTTCCATTGTGTGAAAAAAAAGTAATAATAATAATACTCGATGACAGTATAATATCGCCCAAGTAGAGACGTCTCGGTAGATATTGTTCCCATGGATACGTTATTTTGCCGCAAATGAAGAACAGCAAACACGACGTAAAAGCACCTGTGCTGGAAAGCATTAACAATACCTTTCCACGCAAATAATATAATATAAAGATAAAACAAATATAGATATAATAAATGAATATACCAAAGATAAAGACGTGAGTTTGATTAATCGAGTTTCAACACTAAACACAATTGTCGTTAACTTTCGAAATGTATTGTTTTTGTTCGCAGTTGAAACTCGTAAGTGTATATCCACAATACTATATAATTAAATGCCACTTAATAATGCGTAAAAAATACATCTGTGCCTCTTTCATGCAGATTTTTGTTTCTAAAATATTAACCGTATATCGCTATGATAATGAAAATTGATCAAAATAATATTCCTGGTTAGGCAAAAAAAAAAAAATAATAATAAAAAAACGAGAAATTGTTATAATTAAGATTTTGAATATAAATAAAAAAATTTAGAATAAATTATTAGGCATGGTTATTTAAAATTCGTTCAATATTGACATTATTTTATTTTATTGTTTTTTGCTATCATATTGCACACTATATAATGACCTTATAATGACTATATTATATATGACTATATAATAACCTTCGAATATTTTAACTACTTTTTTTGTTTTATAATTAACTATTTATTAGTAGCACTATTCCGCACAAATATTTCTAATCTAAACATGAGTGAAGACTTATAATAAGTTACTTTTAAAATGTTATAACAGAACAAATTAACGCTTTACTTTTACAATTTACTCATTTAAGAACAGTTTTTCGATGTTAACCAATTATGAAATAAAAATTATCCAATACAACATGTTATTTACCTTTTAAAATACTCTTATGCCGATGTAGAAGCTACATTTTATAATGCCATTTCGAGTAAGGCCATCAAATTATTTACGAGTAATAAATCAAAAACTGTTTCCAGCTTACAAACTTAAATATGTTTTCTGGATTTGATCATATTTAATTGTTATTAGATCAGTGGCGTGCCCAGAGGGTAGAGCCTACCCTGTTTTCAAAGTTATTATTAATATTTTTTACATCATAATTATTTACTTTTTGATGTACTTTTAAATATTATTAACAAGTCAAACAAAAGGAATTGTGTTATATTATATCATCAAAATGTTAAGCCATGTCCAGACTACACGACCAAGGCAACCGAAGGCTAATGTCTCCATATTCGGTGTTAGCTGTGTTTAGATTTGAGAACATTGGCATACTGTCTAAACTCATTCCGAATTCGTCGTTAGTCTGCGTTGGAAGCCTTCGCCGATTTAAATTGCATACGCACACAATTTATTTCATATATCCGTTCGGACCAAATGTTGACGAACACCAAAATATCAACAAATCGTGCCCTAACTGATAACGAATTCCTTTGATGTACCTGGATTCGCCGTTGGCATTCGTTCGATCGCGCTGTCTACACCTAGACTAACATCACCGTATAAGATCGTCACATGTGCCTTCAGTACTCTTAATTGTCTAGTCTGGACGCGGCTTTATAAAAAGTTTACAAAAAAAAAATTCAATAATCTGTACCTATATATAAATTAAAATAATTATAACTGGGCCTGTCCTACATTTTGATCCTAAGCACGTTTTTATATTGGATGTTCTTATACTTTTTTATTAACTTATCAACTTTTATTGTTTATTAAAAAAATAAAATAAAATAATAATATATTTTACGAATATTAGTTGATATATTCACAATACACGTACATATATAATATATATTAAATATCATCATTCATAAGGTTTCCAACATTATTCACTAATTAGTATCCTATAAATAATTTTTAAATTTATCATATTAAAAATATTTGACACTCAAAATCTTGACACAGCGTTTCATACATGTAACATTTTTTTATATTCAGCCAACCCCAGTATTTTTATTAAATTACTTACTTATTATTACTTAAACATGACTTACAGAAGTACATTAGACATGAATTTCTATGGAAATTCAAAGTAACCATTATATTTCTTATTTTCCAATTTAAAAGAAATATACAGAATAATTGTAGTAGATGTTTTTATCAATATTAATTACTAAACTATAAAAAATGTAGAATTTTGACTAACTAATTTTTATAGAATAATACAATTTCATAATATTTATCAAATTTTTGATTAAAACTGTAAACATATGTAATTATTTGTAGATACTATAAACTAAAATATTTCATGACATCAATTATATTTCAATTTACAATTGCATATCAAGGTAGAGTACTTGATACTTAATATTTAAGGTACTAAATTGTTTCACCTCACAATTTATGAGAAAATAAGTAGGTAAATAAAAAAAATAAAACATACAATTTTGTTTTATTTTCACTATAGACTAGTCAGTACTCAAAATAAATTAAGATAAGTCACTAATAAACAATAATTAATCAGATTTATCACCAATTTAAAAGATAAAATATTTCATCAGCAATTAGAACTGTGCTATGATTATAGACCTATTAAGATAAATATTAAAAACAAAATATTTGTGTATATGTATATGATAAATCTTAATAAAATGTTATAATTTATAATTTAAAAATTAAAACTATGTAATAATGTATTACAATAACACATAACAGCCACAATATTTTTATAACTATAATGCATTTATACAAATAAATACAAAATGAAAAAAAAATTTAATAAAAATACCTTTAAACAAAACAAATATCTGTAATTATGATTTTAGTTAAAATTTAAATTATCATAGTTTAGCACATTTTGTGTCTATGAATTAGTACTGCTACTAGTAGGGTAATTTTGTTTAGCCAAGTATGGGTTAAACTGAGAATTATACTTTTGTACAATAGTTGGTTTTATTTGTGATTTTGAAACTTCTACTTCAACTCCATTCATTTTTGCTAATAAATTACTAGCTCTAAACCTTTCTTCCCTTTCTCTCTTTAATCTTTTTTCTCTAAGTTTTTCTAAGGCTATTTTTTTTTCTTCTTTATCTTTCTTCTTTTCTTTTTCTTTCTTTTTCTTTTTTTTCTTATGTTTTTTTTTAAGAGAATCGTCTTTTTTCTTATTCAATACTTTAGACATTGTACAACTTTTTTGATCCCCTTCTATATATTTTTTAATCACAATAAGTGGATCATTGAATGTTTTAACTTTAGTTTCAACTTCTTTATCAGTTTCACGCAGATCTAATCGTTTTGGTTTCTTATTATACCATTGTATATTACCAGTAATTTCATCTGTATCTTGTCCTAAATAAGTTAGGTAGCCAATTTTTTTTTCATATGCTTCTTTTTCTTCTTTTTTTTCCTGTTCATGTTCTTTATTAACACCTGTATGAGCCACATGACCATCCTCAAGATCTTGGAAAAAATTAACATGACTGGGCTCCTCTGTTTTAATTTCTTCAGGTCGATCTGCAGAATCGTCATATCTTTGTTTAGACTTGGTCCTCAACAATGATAATTTTGTTTCTTGTTCCTAATATAAACATATAATAGAATATAAATACAAATTTTAAATAATTATTCAAAAATGCATGTTATTGACTATCAAGTTAAATATTAATTTTATAAATATAAAAAAAAATAAACAATGCTTGTAAGAAATAAATAATTATTAATTAGTTATTATACATTGAAATATAGTTTATAAGATTATATTGTACTAGTATCATGAATTTTTCACTTACAGCTAACTGTATCCTCATCTTAAGTTTCTTCTCTTCTTCAGCCGCCTGTGCCTCATCACGTCTAACACGTGCAATATTATCTTTAGTTCGAACATGCCACCTACATCATCAAAACGTATGAATTGGGAACAATATTTGCAAATATAAAATTTACTTTATGTATTAATACTTAAAAAAAACTTCATATTACAATATAAAAAATGGTCATTAAATAACATTTAATAGTTACATGTACCTAAAACTATAAGTATGACTTAATTATTATATAACAAACATTTCATATATTTATAAAGCAGAATACTAAATAATATAAATGTTTAACTGTTTAAGTTAACATTTTCTTAAGATTTAATCCAATATGCATAGTTTACATAATAAAAACAAAACTAGAATAATCATACTCTTTAAAATAAAACATTTAATAGGTAATTTGATGAAAATAATTAAATTTAATAAATTACATAAAAATGTATATGCAATGCTTAATAAATTAATAATTAAGTATGTATAATTAAAGTCTATGTAATATATGAATAAAATTGAAGAAACAAATAAATATTTAAAAAACCGTCCAACTTATGTATAGTAAAGACTACAAGATTGTTGTTGAAAAAAAATCAACTAGTTTCCCAAGTCACAGAAAAAATTAAAATCATTTACCTCTTTTTGGGTAGAATATTCATTTTAAAGTATGGAGAAGAACCGTATTTAATACAAAACTGTTCTCAGTTACTCATGCAACACTCTCGGGCTGGAAATCAAATTAGCCGTATAATATAAAATTAATTTAAACAGTTTTTAAAAAAAGATTTCAAAAATAAAAACAATTCTTGATGCAATTCTTGTATAGGTAAATAAACGATAGGAAAAAGAAAAAAATTCAATGCATTTGATCCTTCTGTTATTCCACAATAATACAATCCAATTCAAAAAAAAATTTTTCTTTATCTCTTACTGCGATTAAATTTTAGTTTGTGATCTGAGATAATATGAAACCTCTGTGATAAAAACCGGATTTTGGTTTAAGAGAGGTATATGGTCATAACATAGTATATTAACTATGGTATATGGTCAATGCTCAATTGACGTGATTGGTTTCAGATTGTACAGCCCGTGATCGATTGTTGTCTTTTAACAACAGGTGACTCCCTTGTCATTACCACAGGTGCAGTGATTGTCCAAGAACACACGCTACGTTATCACTAATAGTAACATTGCAGCAATTCACCAGTTAACGCGTTAAGTTCCAATGTTAATTCTAAATTATTTATTACATAAGTTCTAGTGAAATCATTAGTAAACATGGAGACTAAACAAAACACATTAGATGGTTTTGTCAAGAGCCAGAAACGACCTACTAACGATGACAATATGTATAAAATATCGAAAATCAATAGTACTAACAGAACTGGAATCGTCAAATCAAGTAGAAAATTGTCATTTGATAGTTCTTCATCGCAAACTATAAAAAAACAAAAAGTAGGTTTAATTTATTTTAATAATTTGCAATTTAAATTGTAAATATATCAATTTGTTGTATTGACATATTACTTAACTAATTACATAATTGTGCATTAGATTAGGTTAGATGTTTATGAGTACAATTTCAAATTTATTTTGCTTTTAATTATTGTTATTATGTACCAATATTTAACTTAAAACTGTTTAACATTAGATATTGCAAAATTGTAAATATACATTTGTAAACAATACTAAAAATTTAAATAAGAAAAATTACTCTGTAAAATGTATATATTTGTTAAATATTGTGTTTGGACTAGATTTTATTAAATTCATTGTGTGACAGGTTGTCAAAATTTCCAAGTGTTCTTTAAGTTACTTTTTGGATGTATTATGTTATTTCAAAAATGAAAATTGATCTTAATTTTAAGGTGTTTGTATCACTTAGAAGCACAATAATCTACAGAAGTATTAAATTTAAATTATATTATTAGAAATATTAGTTGATGTTTATATTTTCCTTTTTAATTAAATTGATAAAGTTGAAATAAAAATAAAAATGTTTAAATTAATAAAAATAATTAATAAAATAAACTATGAGCTTTCATGACCATCATCCAAGAATGAATATTTTAAAAATTTTATCTAAAATCCTCTTTACTTTTGGGACATAGTATACTTATAGTTAACTAATACCTACTATAATAAAATAAATAACACAGGTAATTTAAAAAACACCGAAAAATTTAAAAAAGTTAAAAAATTGTGTAAGATATTATATTTTTGTTACATTTAAATTTTCATATTTACTTAATAACTAGATTTTTCATTCCAACTTAAAATAAATCATTATTATTTAGTAAATCCTTATTTTTCTACAAATTTAATGTTATGTTTTACACACTATTTTATTTCCTGGTTTAATTGTTGAGTGTAGTATGATTAAAATATAAATTATATCATTGAATAAATTTTCATTATTGTTTTAAGCTTACTTATTATTTTTCAGGTGGAATCTGATAATACACAAACCATTTTTCATGGGAATCTTAATGTAACTCACTCTAAAAATACAATCATTGATAATACTTTGGATACAAATGAAACTGAACATAAGAATGAGGTTGAACCAGAAAGAGAGAAAACTCCTGATCAATCACCATCAATTAAGGCTAAATTACGTAAAGTATGTATACAAATAGAATTATTAAATGTTTAGAGGTTAGTATAGTAAAATACTAGGTACATAATACACATAGTTTATTTATTTTAAGTCTATAGTTATTTTTATGACAGTTAATAAAAGTGTTACAAAAATTAAATAAAATACTAGTTTCAAACGTCCATTTTTACTATTTGTTCTTAAGAATAGAAAATAAGGTATAATTAATTAGTAAATAAATATCAACTCCTAATGGTGAGTGAAAAATAGTGTACAATAAATAAAGAATTTGAATATTTTAAAAATTAAAAACTGAAATAAATGAATTATCTCATGTGAATCTTCTGATTTTTTTTAAACTAAATAAAATAGCTCTGGTTTAGCATTATCATACTTTAAAACAAAAATTACTATAATATTTTAAAATTAAATAAGCTGCTTTAAAATTTAATTATATACTCATTAATTTTTCTTAGAGCTAAAATTACTAGGAAAATCAAAAATTAACCATCAGAAATATTTTTATCTTTCAAATTATTATGGTGTTCTTCATGAAATGTTTAATGTATATATGTAACATATTATATATTTTAACAATAACATTTATTTATATTAATTCAATTTATATTTTAGGAATTGGATTTGGGTGAATTTCGCAAAAGTGTTCACTGTAAACGCAACTTTAAGAAGTTACAAGAAAAGATAAGTTCAGTGGAACAATATCAAAATGATCTTAAATGTATTGAATCTAAAGTAGAATTTGCCAAAAGTTATTATTTATCTTCATTTAAATCCATTGATTTCATGATTCATACTAATCCTATAGAACCGGAATCAATTCCTGTACAAAAACCTAAATTAAAACCAACAGTTCTTTTCCCAAGCTCATCAAAATCCATGATTAGTCCAAGAAAATTGATGATGGAGACAGAGGCAACACTTCCTAAAGTATACGTTTCAGCTGGAAAATTATTGGATGAAATTGAATCTCTAAAGGCTATGTCACCATCAAAACGATATTCGGCATTAGCAAATTCTAACACATTACCTTTACCATTGAAATACCGTAATTTAGATGAATTATTCAAAGCTATGGACACTGTATTAACCGTAATATTTAAGAGAAAAGAAAGAATTACATTTAATAAGCTTAAACGGGGTGTACAGAAACTAATAAGAAAGTAATAATTTAACTATAATTGTTGTTTGTTGATCACTAAAATTAACTTAAATTTTATTTTAATTTATAGACATTTTACTGAATTGCATTTGGCACAAATTAAAACAATAGTACCAGAATTCTTTGAATTTTCACTGATGAAATCAAGTGATAAACCTAGTTTTGAATTAGAGATATCTCCAGTTTATGGTAAATACCTAATTTTTAATTTATCATGTGATAATATTACTTTTAAATTAATTAGGATTGGAAAATGAAGATAATGTTGATTTGACTGAATTAACAAATTGGAGAAAAAAGAAATTTTACAATTCATTACTTGGCATTATGAAAAAATATCATCAAGTAATGTTATATTCATATAATTGTAAATTAAATTTAAAATGACTAAACTATAATTTCTCTAGGAATATTTGAATAAATTAACTCCGCCTATTTTGATTGATGAAGATAAAATAATTAGATGGCATCCTCAATTTGATGTTGAATCTGTACCTGATATTATCCCTTCATCATTACCCAAAATTGAAATTGACAAACCAAAAATAGAATCTGTTAAAGATATATCAGGTATATTTATAATATATTTTATATATATAATTATATATAAATTATATATTATTAATTTATATATATATTTTTTACAATACAGAAAGATCTATTTAAGTAGTTACATTTATGTTCTTAGTCTGTTTTTTTTTAATGATTTTCATAATTTGAAATTTTATAATCATGAATATTTCATTATCTTCCACTCTTTTCTGTTGCACACTATCAAAAAAAATATATTAATAGAGAAAATTATTGAAGCTACTTAAAAAGATCACCTTTTGTATATTTATGTATCTTCTTACATTCAATTAAATTTAAGAATTTATTAATCCTGGGTTAAATTATCCTTAGATCGATCTCATGCATTATTTGTCTATAATAATATTTTGAACCGAAATTTTACTATGAATCGTGAAGAAAACAAAAATGTAAATGTAAAAAATATTCCAACTGAAGATGCAAAAAGTGCTTTAAAAGAAGCATTTAAAGATATTCATAATTCATTTTTATCAAATGTAATTTATTTAATTGATTAATTTTAGTGTTTTAATATAGTATTATATATAAAAATAAAATATTAATATTCAGATTGAAGCTAAACAAGAAGAAAATACTAAAGAGTTAATGACAAGATCATTAGGTCAATTAAATGAAGATAGAATAATAAACAGATTACCAGATATTGCTCGAAGGATGCGTACTTATTTTTTACAACTTAAAAGAAATGTTATGCCATTAGAAAAAGTCATTGATCAGTTGAAGCAGAGTTATCCTGAAGCTATGACAAACCGTAATTTAACTTCTTTAATTCATATTTTAATATTTTATTTTTAAATTATTTATTTAAATTTTTAGAAGATTGGAAAGCTCACTTCAATCTTCTTCAAGAAAAAGTCCCTCATTGGATTAAAATCAATGAGTTAGATGGAGTTGAACATATTCAAATTGAAAAAAAAGTTAGATTTGAAGAAAGTGTTGTCATTAAATTAAAAAATTAATTGTTGTTTTTACTAACTAAATTTTGTTCTAAGCTTTTATTTACATTTTTTTTTATTTAATATTACATTATTTAATATTATAAATATTTATTTTATATTTTATCTATCTTTTTTTTACTCTCTTGCCTTCCTTCCCAATTATAAATGAACAATGATCCTCATCCAGCACCTTCACACTGATCAGTCTAACATATCTTATTTATATACATTTAACCAAACCACTTTTGTGTTTTCTACTAAATATGAACATTCTCGTTAACTACATCAGTAGTTTTCAACCTTTGATCAGCAAACCATTTTTTTTTTTAAAAAAAAAATATAAACCATACAACAAAATTTCAACACATTTATGAAAAAAATATACTTATGTATACATAAATATAAAAATTTCAATATAACCATTCTACCTAGACAAATTTTGCTGATATCATATAGTGTGGTAATTTCAGGCTCCCAATCTACATATTCACTCTTTATGAAATACCTGAACTAACTCAATCAGACTTCTAATTTTTTTTCTAATATGTGCTCATTACTCATATATTCTGTTGTTATTTTACACCTCTCTTCTCTTTTCTATACAATACTCATTCTTAGAACTGATCCCTCGTATTCTGTCATTGAAACCATATTTCTTTGTTATAACCGTAACATAATATTTCGGAACTCAATCATAAGTATTTCATAAATCTTTAATTGTATCCATTAGAGATGGGCGTGAAATTCGAGAATTTGAATAAACCAAGTATTCGTCGGATTTATTAATTTGCTTCTTATGCGACTAATAATTACTTATAATTTATGGTAAAATACAACGCAATCATTCTAAATGTTTTAACGTTCTTAACTCACTGAGCGGTTACTTGTAACGTAATCACCGTATCACCGAAAGTGTTTCATGTGATAAGATACGACGAGCAGTGCGTGCACGCGGTAGGACCATTTTCGTACAAGAACAATTGTGACACTGCGGCATAGGAACGAGCCAATCGTCTACGGTGGCCGCCGCCGTCGTACATTATTTCCATAACTCTACGCTAGTGATACCTTGTTGTAGGTACACCACATCGTCTACTGTGCGATAAATTTTGTTATTTTTTTTTTTTTTTTGTCACCAATCTGTCTTGTTTATCCGTCAACCGTCTCCGTTCACCGCAGTGACGTTCTCCGCGCACTGAACCCCGTTCGCAAGTACTCCGCTCGACGATGGCCATAACAAATACAGTGGGTGAGTGCCGCACAGCGTATTACAAACAAACAAATGCGAACGCGCACACGCACGAGGCCGCTTTCGATTACCGACTCGCCGTCGATTCGCGTACGGCTGATGGTCGTCTTGGATTCGGTCCGACGTCCTACGAATTTGTCTGAGTCCGCCGGTCGATTCGACGGTTCGCTTGCACGTCGTGTCCACGGCTGACCGTCGTCGTACCCCGACGGAAAACTACGTGATAGCCGTCGGCGGTGCCGGAGATACGTTGCTCGTGGTTGCCGGTCGTCCGCCGACCATCCGTCTCCCTGTGTCGCTATACTTTCCACCAAGCTACCCACCTCGCGCACGTATAGTGTGGCCGAGTTTCGTGGAAATTGCTGGTAAACTACGTTTTGCCGTTCAGATTTCGTATTTCAACAGAATTCGCTATTGATCTGGTACCCTAACTGTTTCCGATTAGTCGATACTGTTGATCAGACCGCCAAATCATACACAGACGTTCTGAATTCTTCGAATGGTTGTTTTTTTTCTTTTTTTTTTCATGTTTACAAATGACGATGCAAATTCGGAAAAAAAAACTTTGTTTTTTTTTTTTTGTGCTACTAAAATAACAACCCATTAGTTTTCTATTTTTGTCTTGTTATTAATATTTTAATAATACAATTCATGTTTTTTATTTAGTTATTCCACGAAATTTTAGACTGTTGGAAGAACTAGAACAAGGACAAAAAGGTGTAGGAGATGGCACTATCAGTTGGGGTCTTGAAAAAGATGATGATATGACTTTAACCCAATGGACTGGAATGATTATTGGACCACCCAGGGTGTGTATATTTTACTTATTAAGCTATTACATATTAATATCTGTTGAATATTAATAATTATATTTTATTTATAGACTCCTTATGAAAATCGAATGTATAGTTTAAAAGTAGAATGTGGTCCTATGTATCCAGATGACGCACCTGTCGCTCGGTTCGTTACACGTATCAATATGAATTGTGTTCATAATACTACTGGATTGGTATGTTTTGTTATACTGATATATATATATATATATTTATATAGTATTATTCATTTAGTTGCATCATTATTGAATAACTATTATCTTTAACTATTTCATTACAGGTTATACAATATTAAATTATAATTCAAAACTAAGAATAAATCTACTTAATTGGATCACTTTAATTTTGAATATTTTTTTTTTTTGTTTTTATAATTAGCTAAGTTAACCCTTAAAAACCAGAAGTTCATAGTCTATAGATACTCCATGTTTCTTTAAATTTTAAGTTATAAAATGATTCATCATTGATACAATATTTTAATGGATAGCGTGGCTGATTTCTTATCATAAATACAGTTTACCATTTATCTATTTAATAAGAATAACACTGTTAAGTAAATCTGTTATTAAAATGAGATACATTTTTAAAATTTTAAACAATTATTGTTGTAGACTATAATAATTTGGGATTAATAATTTACTATATAATTTTTTTATCCCAATAAACAAAAACAATGCATATTATGGTGACATATTGTATTAGCTTAAAATTTTAACTACTTTAAAACTGAATCCAACCAGAACATAAGAGAACATTATTTTTTTCAAAATACAAAAATTCCTAGTTATTATGACCTGTAATGTAGATTTATACTCAAAATAATCTATAAAGATATTTTAAATCTTTTTTATTTTTATTATTAATATTTAATTATTAGTCTTATAATTGTATTATTAATGCTAAGCCGTAACAAAATAATGTTGAGAACGGTTTGAAATAATACTAATTTTTATATCATAATTGGTTTATAATTTAAAACTGAAATGACCAATTATATTGTATTTGATTTGAATCTCTGAATAACTATACCTCTAAAATCTACCTATTACATTTAAGGATTGACCTTTATGAATTTACTAGCCATTTTGTATTTCATTAGTGTTTCAAATTTTATATTATTTTTATTTAGGAAATATATCTTAATTATAAGATACTTTTTAAATATTGTTTCTTAACTTTGAGGTCGTTATCCCATAAATAGAGAATCGGTTCAATCAAAAATAATTAAACGCTAATGCACAAAAAAAATTGTATATAAATAAAAAATGTATTTTGAAATAATTTCTTTCTGTAAAAAAGTGTATATAATTTGTTTATCCTATAATTGGTAATTTATTTTCAACTAGTATAACAAATAATAAAGCGTAAATTAATATTTATCTCAAAGAAAATATAAGGTAACTAACTTTATTTTTTATTATCGCAGCACTAAAAAGGTTGAGAAGTTATATAAATAATATTTTAATTTTAATAAAACAATTTTATTTTATTTCAACATCAAAAGAAATTCCAATAAATTATTTTTTATAATATGTGTTATATTACTAGCTGTTCATGAGTTTTGAGTTTTGTATTGTGTCTCTTTGAATAGAAATATAATTATTTTTTTTCTCTTTGAATATATTTAATTTTTTTAATTTTAATCAAGGGTTTATTATTTATTTAATATTCCATTTGTAGTGGAAGCAATAGGTTTTGTTATCTATATTTTTAACCCCAATTATATATATATATATATATATATATATATAGCATAGCATATGAAGTATTAGCAATTATTATTATTTCCTTGTGAATTTCTGCTGGTTTTAATTTTTTTTTTATTTCGATTAAAAGTACAACAATGCTGTATATTTTGTTGTACAATTTACTAGTGCATAATGTTATGTATATAATAATTATTAAGTTTTGTTGCTTTTGCAGTTTTGTGATATCCCTTCTTATTTTATTTTTATCAACTTTTTGATAGAAAAATTAAAAATTTTAGTTTGATGATATTTAACAACAAACTTAAACCTTAAAAATATTAAGTTTAGAAATTAACATTTGCACTTTTTTTATTATTCAAAAGTTGCCATTGCTTTTGTACATATTTATTATACTGTGTAGTGTTATCCTAATTAAACTACTAATTTTCACCACTAAAAATCTCAACTTTTCACTAGCTGCACAAGTAGTGTAAGCTAAATAATTTTAAAATGTTAGAAAATATATTTTTATTGAAAAAATATTTGTATCAAACCCTTTTCTAATCAAGCTTAATTTATTATGCTTTTCTTACATTTACTAGAACTTCTTATATACATATATATGTATATAAACTATATCTCATCTTTAATTTAAATAAAATTTTTAATATAAAACAGATTTATAAAAAAATTTAATTTGTTTGTCGAATAATTCATAATAATGTCTTATTTATTTTAATTTAGGTGGATAATAGACAAGTGCCTGTGTTAGCTCGGTGGCAACGAGATTATACAATCAAGACTGTTTTGCAAGAGCTTAGAAGATTAATGACTCTTAAGGATAACATGAAAATGTCTCAGCCACCTGAGGGTAGCACATTCTAGCCATCGCCGCTGTCTGAACCATGGAATAGCTTGTACCTAGCGCCTCGCTATCAACCCACAGCTGTCGCACCGGTACAACCAACACAGCCAATGCAAGCAGTACAACAACAACAACAACGTCGCTTCATTGGTCGTTGCCTGAGGATAATATTTCCATGCTGCTATTATACAGCTCCTCAGACCGACGCCTAGATTTTACTTAAAACATTAGGGAATTGTCTATCCCTTTCATTTGTGGTTTTAACAAACAACCACAAAAAAAATAAGTTTTACAGGTCATTTTGTTTTATAATTTTTGTTAAATTTTTCATTTAATTTCATGGTTCAGAAAGCGATATCACATTTAGGCATATTTTATATACTATTTATTATATTATAATATACTCATAAAATAGTTATTTAGACTTTGTTTTATTTTAAGTACTAAAAAACACCTAATTATTTAAAAATTAATGATAAATATAATCTATGAGGTTATTTGTGAGTAGATAATTACTAATTCAACTATTAGTAATCATGTATTTGCAATTAAACACTTATAGTCATCAATAGTTAAAATCTTAAAAGATATCTTAATGATATTTTATTCTGATTTTTATTCATGTTTTAAAGTTTAGAACCCACACTTCAGTTTCTGTGTTTGTGTTATTTACTGTACTAGTTTTTAAGAGCATGTAAAAATATTCAACACATTTTATGTTTTTATGGGATAAAAGAAAACTTATTATCTGCATTTTTTTTTTTTTTTATATAATATGATAAAATATATATATATATATATATTTATTTAATTAAATACAATGTAATACAATTTTAAAATGTGTGGGGCAAGCCTGTAAATCAAAGTAAAATAAATACTTTGAATGTTCACTTGTAATTTAAAATGTTTGTTTTTCCTAAATATTGCCAATTCAATACAGTCATTTATTTAAAAGTTGTTTAATACTAAGGAACTTCTTATTATATTACAACTACTGTGGTTAGGTTACCTTTGCCAATATAATTATTACTTATAGTACTTTATAGTATCAAAAAAAATACACTACATTTATTAATTTTTTAAATAATAGTTCAATAAAGTACTGGTATTATTAGTATAGAATCAATTATAACATCATTAAGCTCATTAATAACGCAATTTTTTATGGCTCGGGGGATTAAGGGATAAATTTATCGATTTGTATGTTGAAAATAGAAAATATCTAAATCTTTTTATTGTGCGTATGATTGACAATACAGAAAATCTTGGTTCGGAAGTATTTTGTTAAGTTTTATTTTTGATTTAAATTAAATGTATATACCCAGGTTTTTCTAATAGAAATATATCTGTAATTATTTATTATTTTTTTCAAATTTAATATAGGGCCATATTAAAATAGTATTATTTAAATCATATTTAATATATCCTTAATAGGTTTCAAAAATAATTTTTAAATTTCTATTTATTTACAAAATAACCACTTTATTGGACAGGCTGTTAAAAAAAAAATTATAGAAACTCCTTTAAATATCCAATCATTGTTTTTTTAGATATAGGTAGCTTATGCAAGTTAAGAAAATTATACAGTTAGGTATAACAACTAGAAATAAATAGGAAATTGTAGTCAAGTTTATAGTAATTATTACAATATCCATTATACATAATCCTATATGTGTTTCTCTTTTTCAAAATAAATTTTCAACTGGTGGGTAGTTATATCCCTATAATACCTTTATCTTTACCATTACCTTTCTTTTAATTAGAGACATTAAAACAATATGTGCAATATCTAAATAAATTTTTATTTTGAAATCAAAAATGCATATATTTTCTAGGCTGGTAAAGGAATAAAAATTATAATTTAGGAAAAATCATCATCTATAACAAATGCTAAGACACAATTAGTAAGAAATCGAGTAGACTTACTAGGTACATTTTAGCAAAAGTTAGTTTAATGAAAATAATTAACTTGAGTTAAGATTTTATTTTCAGCACTCCCAATATTTGGGCTCTAGTTGCGCCATGCCACTCACTATCGTATTTATTAATCATCATAGCTAAAGTTCTTTATACATAATATTCGTTACCCATGGCCAGAACTCAATACCCAAAGCAATGCTCCATCTTACAAAATCTATATGACATCTGATGTAAGTAAACCATTTTACTTTACATGATTATTTAATTTTTATATTAATATTTATGTATAACCAAGAAATTTAAAAAAAATTTAACTTGATAAATCATTTTTAAATCAACTGTGAAAATCTAAGTTAATTCAACTACCAAATAAAATAGTCAAGTTAAAAAGTTTATTAGAAAATAAACTAACTAGTTAACCTTTGAATTTTAGGGAAGTAAAAAAACTAGTCGATTTCGAAAATTAATATTTTCACGTTTAAAAATAGAAGTATGAATAATGTATTAATTCTTATTTTTTTAATGAATGCTATTAGTAAGGCTGATATTTCAATACTCTAAGAAATGCAAAAATGTGTTGAAAGTCTTAAAAAATGTATTTATTACAGTTTAAAAACGATATATATATATAGATATATATATATCATGTTACAAACATATAGTGCTGTGTTATACATTTTCAGTGCCCCGGGGCTAATTTTTTTCTTCGGGGCCACTGAGCACCGGAACATCCGAGTTGAATCTCGAGTACTAAGGGTTAATCGCAAATCATGTACTAGTTGGGTTCCGTATTTTTATAGGTACTACACTAATTCCTGAATATTTTTTGGTAATTACTAGGTACATTATATTAAAATTTTCCTTCCCATTTTAACAGACTTAGTACTGTCAATGATCTATTTAGACTACAGGTATGGTTAAAAATGTTTTTTTTATAGTGTTTTTGTTTTTTAGTTTTTTTTCCATTAAAATATAAATTATTAGAATTCTGTTGGTAAAAATATTAAAAATGTTAAAAATTAAGTACAAAAATATATAATTATAGCCATATAGGTAAATGAAAAAATATTAAAAATGTTAAAATCATTATATAATATAAATAAAAATTAAATAATATTTTTTAAAAATCACTTTTGTGTTGGTAAAAATGTATACGACATTAATTTTACAAAATCGAATCGATTTATTGTTCCTGCAATTTTTTTAATCATATTTTCAGTTATGAATTTTTCTTTTAGCAAAATTCAGTTCCTTTTTCATTACTTCTACACTTCTCATTTTAATATAAGTATCAAATTGGAAATTTTTTTAAATTTCTAGGAACTGATAAATATTAGGATGTGCGGTGTACAACATTAAATTAAAATGGGAATGAAATGATCCGCAGGAATTTATGGTTCGCATTATCATTGGATTAAATTCTGATCAAATTGTTGGTGGAAATCTCACTTCTTCATTAATATAATTATTAAAAACGTAGTCAGTAAATTTTCAAATTCGGCTGTCGTTTGGTTGGATAGATATTAGATTATCGGTAAAACCCAACTAGTGTAGTACTTATGTGTAAAACTCCGGGACCCAACTAGTGTAGTACCTAAAATAATTCGGGACCCAACTAAAGTAGTTATTTTAAATTCAGTACCTAATTCGGATGCAGTATCATATTGCTATGGTTCCAACTAAAATAAATGAGCTAAATCTTCCGATTTTCTATTGCTGGACAAAGAACAGTCAATGATGAGTCAATGATCCCATATGTGATTATAGTTAGTCGGTTTGTAAACTACCGATAAAATCGATTAAAAACGACGTTATGTCCCCATACTGAGTTTACAAAACCACAGTGCTTGACTTGAAGAGGGACGCGGGGGGAAGTCATGGGACAATTACCCCATCCAGAAATCCCACAGGTTGACTATGGTTATGTTCAGTTATAAATTAAGTAGGGGCGCAAAATTTGTATACGCCATCAGAGTACCTCTACTATAATTTTTTTTCCAAGTTGGGCACTGTAAAGCCTTTTCATCCTAAAAGTTGTCGATCCAAGTACTTTAGATCGCTTTGAGAACAGACCGTCCCAAAAAAGTATCCCCATATCTTACCGACGGGAAATAATAGGTAGGTTAATAACCCAGTCGATATTCGCGGGAGATCTACGATCTGCGATCTCGTATATACCTGCGATCGCGCGGTTTTCGCGTAGCGCTCCCCGCGGACCGTTCTGCGAAGCGCTCGTCCGCCACGCCGGCCGGCGGCGTCCCTGGCGACGCGGACGTCGCGCCGGACACCTGCAGTCGGGCGATTGCGTCAAGGGCGAGGCCGTCACGCGCGCATAATACTGTACGTGCGCGGACGTGTTCCTAACGTACTGCGTCCCCCGTGCACGGACTCCGCGACCGTTAATAGCCGTCGACAGCAATCGTTTTTTTCTTTCTCCTTTCCCTGAACACCGGTCGCGTGTGAAAACATAAAAAAATCGGATCCACCTCGGCACGGGTCTTGCGCGAAGAAGAATTCTGCTCGAACGACGTTTTTCGATCGGGTGTACCGTACTACACGTCCGTTTACGTTCCGCTGCGCTAAGCCCTACATGTACCCGGGGGCACGGCGACCGCAATCGGATTGTCGAGTTGTACCCGAATCGCGACGAATTCCGTACGGCATTATTGTTGTCGCTGTAACAGCGTCCGTGTCTGCGTATAAATGACGGCCGGCGCCTATATTACCGTACGGTTCGCGTTCGACCGTTAGTGAGTTTTGAGCATCTGAACTCCTTTGAACGTTTCGTGCGGAGAGCATCGGTTACGACAACAACCGCGGTGCAAACCGGACCGTTGCGATAGCCAGAGACGATCGATGGACGTTAAGGGTAAGGTCGCCATGGTTACAGGCGGGGCCGCCGGCATTGGTCGCGCGTACTGCGAGGAGCTACTGAAAAACGGAGCCAAAGTAAGATGATATACGTGTAAAATCACTCACACACACACACACATGTACCGCCCATTATTCGTAGGTGATATAGGTATTGTATACAATTATGGGAACCCGATCGCCATCGTTTTTTGTACCTAGTATGTTTATCCTTATTTCATTTTTTTATCTATACGTTTTCATCGGTTACCTATCTTCGTGTCAGGAATGGTTACACTGCTTCAAACCCCCCTTGCCCTCCCGAACACTTTGAGTTCCGATCAATTTCCATGATTAAAATATGAAACAACATTCGAGTGTCTTTTGGGTGCCTACTTATATTTTTTTTTTTGGTTTTCGTTATTTTAACATATATATTTTTGCAAACAAAAACTTCGAACCTTTCCCTCCAAAAAATGTATGTCTTAAAACCGTTTAACGTTTAACCTGAAAACTATTGTCGTATATTTAACCTTAGTGACTTAGGTCTTAGGAATACTGGTGCATTGTAAAATATACCGACTTTGAAATTAGTGATTAATTAACGAATAAATGTAAGTAACACCTTAGTATATATAGTTTAAATAGGGACTAAAAAAAAAATGTTCAGTACTATGTTAGGTCATATTCGGTATAATTGGGTGGGGTAAACCTATAATAATGCTATTCTACCGCTGCAAAAATACAAAAAACACTATACTCAAGCTTGTAAAAGAAAATGTATTTGAAAACTTCAATTTTCTCAAAATAGAACTTCTAAAAACTATTACCATTAATCTAAAAAAAAAATCATTTAAATCCTATAAATCAGCGTTTCTTAAATTTTTTTGTCTGTAGAACCCTTTTTGATGTCCATATTTATCGTGGAACCCCTACTTTTTTTTTAAGCTTTTTAGATTTTTTAAGATTATTTTTAAATAAATTATAATCATATAATAATATTGTGTTAAAGGTATTTAATTAAAAAAATATGTTAAAATAAAAATTAAAATAATAATTGTATACATATATATTATAATACTTTAATAATAATTACTTTAATTAGACTAAATATAAATTTAGACTATTCTATATGGCTTATACATTGTTATTTAATATACAAATATTTTTTTTCTATAATGCAAATAGTTTTTCACCATTACTAGTCTTTAGTTGGAAATTTTAAAGTAGTTTTATTAAACATTTTTAAAAAATTACTTAAGCTTCGTGAAACCCTGAAGTGATCTTTGCGGAAACCCAGGGTTCCACGGAACACAGTTTGAAAAACGCTGTTATAAACCATAAACCATGGAGACCATGAGTGGATACAGGGGCCGCACTGGGGATATTGCCATCCCCATTGGAAAAAAATAATTTTAAAAATAAAGTATTGAGAGTTTTAGTACAATATTGTAACGTTATTTTTTGGACAGTCTAATCCTCCCAGGACACCCCTACATATAATTTATCCTATAAAATGTCCCGACCGTAAATATATACTGGATCCGCCCTTGCATGAAGTCAGCACTAGAGATGCAGTTAGTAATTATACCTTAGACTAGCTAACATAAACTGGCTGTTGAAAGTATACTATTTTATGGAAATTCAGATTTTTTGCTCAATGATGTGACAAACATGTCATTTCCTCTTTAAAAAAAAAAAAAATTTCTACTAGATCCAATATAAAAATGATAAGACTAAAATTAAATAGGTATATGCACCATTATAAATAACACTTAAAACTTGAATTTGAATTTTTTTATTATTTTTAAGAAGAAAAATGTTTAATTTATTTATTTTTAGTTTATATTACATGTGCCTAAATCTTTAAGAGTATTTGTAAATTTAAATAACCCTAGGCCCGTCACACGAATTTTTCTCATTAAGGTCCAGTAAATAATTTTTAATGTTAATAAAAATAAAGAAAATAAAATATAAATTATCAAATTATATTTTAAGACATCTGTGATTTTGTAAACTATTGGCTTATAAAACATAATTATTTTATCTTTGACGAACAATTTAATTTATAATTGAAAAAAAGACATGCATAAGCGCCACCTGGAATTTTGATCAGGGGGGGGGGTTAGGTTAGGTTAGGTTAGTTGCATCATACATAGTTTATACATAAGATTTCTAAATAATATTTACATTTTTTAAGTTAGACACGAATAATTTTTTCAAATTGTACGACAGAACAAAATTATTCCAGTTTTTTTGACAACTACAAAGTAATAGTAGAAAATCCGATAATAATTAGACTCTTTCCTACAATTTTAAATTGTATTAATTTTTAAAAGCTAGGGGATGCAAGTACACCCCATTGAAACCTCTTTGCCACGCCCATGGAGACAAGACTTTAATTTTGAATAGTCGTTTATAGCTCATAGAAATTAATAAATACCTATAATTCGGTTCGGTTTATTCGTAAAATCGTGATTTGGGCGTTTGATTTAACACTTATATAAATTATGTGTATACATTGTATATTCACTATGAATGAAATTATATAATAATATGTGGCAGTGGCGGATCCAGGATTTAATTTTGGAAGAGCTTATAGTCCAAAAGTTATTTCCTTATTCACAGTAATAATACTTGTGCAATTTAAACTTTGGTTATAGTATTTATGTTTTTTTTTAAATCCTTTGAGTGTTTATACCATTTGAATCAAAATCTCCCAACTCCTATCCACTCACTCACTCAGTTACACACTCAATTACTTACCTATATTTACTATTGAATTAATAAAACCTAACTTAGGCCAATGGAGGAACAAGGCCCCTCCCCCTTAAATTCATATGAATATGCACAAAAATATAATAATCAACAGAGGGTTAGAATGAATGAATAAATAAATAAAATAAATCATAAATCATGGAATTTTCTTATTAATTATAGATGTGAGCTAAACCTCTAGTTAAAACATATTAAGTAACTTTAGTGATATACTAATTTACTTATAATGGATATAATGTTCCTACTTGATTTTTATATAATCAATTTTATTAAGTTTTAATAATCGTACATATAAGGCTGTCATTTTTGTTAGGAATGATATCGAATTTTAAGAGGTAAATATAAATGATTTTTTTCGTATAAAATCTACATACATTTATAGATATAATCTGCTTTTAGAATTTTATCAAAATATAATTGATTTTCTGTTACCATATAACTATAAAATATTTAAATTTAATGTTTTGTCTACAACGATCTATTTAAAACGCTTACAAAAATTTCATGTTATTTTACATACTATAAAAGAGGCGCATGTAAACTCCGCCACTGAAAAATATTAGGTAAAATTGAGTTCTTGTAAACTCCGCTAGTGAAGAAAATCAAGTAGTAGTATAAATTTCATATGATAGATTATTAAAAATAATTATAGTATAATACCATATCATATCGTTCAAATTAAATATTTAAATCATAGTAAAAAAATCGTAACTAATAATCGTTATACCTAATAATCCAGTCATATATATTTATGTCATGTATTTAAACTAAAATAATGTGATACAATTCGTAAATATTCTAAGTTTTGTATTACTCCATTTGTATACCTATATATAGCATCCTGTACTACTGTCGTTTTTTATTTACTTTTGAATTTTTTAGCTTATTTACTTGAGATATGCCATTTAATTTTATATAAGTATGGGTTTGAAATTCGATGAGAACTTTACTAAAAATATAAATATTCTGTTGATTTTTCTAAAATGAATTTCTTAGATGACTATGAAAGGATTCATAGGCAAAACAAAAAAAATTGGCGGAGTTTACATATCGCACTATCAGTTCAAGAAGGCCACATATATATCAAAAATATTTAATTGTTCAGGAAAGCATTTCTAATGTTTAATAATTTATAGTAATTTATAATTTTCTTCTGCTAAATATCAATATGACTAACTAGACCAGACATTTTCTTATAATATTGTTATCATCAAGTATAATTTAAAGGCTACATTTCGTATTACGGCTTTATTGTTTTCAGCTACCTCTCGATCTGCCTTAGTGCAATAAATTTATTTGTATAACTGACGATTTCAAATTTTTTTCCATAGATCGCACCACTCGAAAAAAAAATACGAATTCAAAGACACCAAAAATGTAAATTTTAAATTTTTTGATACACGGCTCTCTTGTACTGATTGTGCGATATATCCATTACAGGTAAGAAAAAAACCTGTGGAGTTTACATTAGACCTTTGATTAACTTTTTATCTAACCTAACCGGTATTCTGGCGGAGTTTACAATCTCCCTATAAAAGTGCTATTATAATAAGAGTACGTTTTAGTACTATAGTATAATGACTACTATAATAGCCTAATCTAGAACCTAAATATGATTATATAATAATAATTAATTATTTGTAATCCGACGGCACATGATATCATGATATTGCAACGCAATATATATTTATTTATTTAGGTATCCATATGTGATATCAATGAAGATGTAGGCGTCAAATTGGCCGATTTGTTGGGTGCCAAATTTGGAAATACTAAAGTGATATTTTGTCCGTGCGATGTCACTGATTATCCACAATTTCAAGGTAAATATTTTATAATTATATCACAGTAATTATATGTAACTACTGCAATATAGCACCAATAAAAAATTAAGGAATTTTGCGGGTGTCATAAATTTAAATATCTTAAGGGTGAATATTTTTTAAAAACCGTAATTATACTTAAGTGGAATACAATTAATTCAATAGTTCATAAAAAATCTTCTTACGATTTTGGATAAAAGCGTTGCGTATATTTAGTATTTTTCCCACTTGTTATATTTAATTATAAATTTTTATTTTGTTGTTAAACCATAAATCGGTTAATCTTGAGATTTAGTGCTTATAGGGTATATGGAGAATATTATATAGTGTCAGGTCATTATAAAATTTTGTAACTACCTAACCATTAATTATTCATTATAATATTTAGTATCCTTAAGCGTCTGAAATAGTAGTGTACCCTGTTATACATTGATAATACTGTACATTAAAAAATTTTGATAACTCATGTTTTAAATTATGCATTTTTTTTTTTATCGTAGATGCATTTCGAAAAACGATTGCGGCATTTGGTGGACTGGATATAGTTGTGAACAATGCGGGAGTTTTCAACGATCGATTTTGGGAATTCGAAGTCGACGTAAATTTGGTAAAACACTAGAACTTGATACTTTTAAAGAAATATATTAAAATACAAAACTGTATTTAGTACTAATAACTTCCTCTTCTATATTTCTCGTGCACTTTTGAGCGCTCATCTAATATATATGTTGGATCATTTTCATAAAATGTCATATTATATTCTGATTGTGTATGCCTTACACTATAAGGTACCAAGACCAACATCCATATGTTGTAATTTATGTACCTTGCGTTATTATAATGTATCATACAAAAATGTATTTACAATACTTTTGAGTTAAATGTTGGTAACTATATAAAAATAATATATGTTATATAAGTGTATTAATAATACACTGTATTATGTATATCATAATTTTATATTTAACTATCGTATTATTTAATGGTACCATACTCTCCTAACAGGTATTGTTAAAACAATAGCTCCACGAATGGGGTGGTCTCAGCTCTAGAAATACTTTTACTACAAAAATACATACTAGTTGCCTCCCATCATTATTGTAAATAAAAAGGTTAATTTACGCAAGGTGCCTCTGATGACCAGATAATTCATAACTGTTTACGAGCTGCCTCCCAAGAATTCTCTTCCATGTTTAGCAGAGCATATTTTTACATGAAAAGTACTTAGCACTTGTGCCCCCTAGTGATAACTGAATGCTACCCAGTGATGGATGATCATGCCCCTGACCAACATGACTGTCATGACTGGAATTGATTTGCCCTTTTTGTTCCTCTGGTAGACAGTTTTGTTGAAGTGCCACCCGGTGAAAATTTCTTAAAATATGGTCTGATGTTTAATCATCGATTAGCAGCTTCGACGTGATTGTTGGTTCTGTTTTTTTTTTTTCGTTTACGATAAAATGTAAGAACGTTGGGAGGCAACTCATATGTAGTCGGAAAATTATTCGTGTAAAAATTATTAACCTTTTTGACTTCGGGAGGCAACTAGTAAGCGCTCTTAAGTACATACCTATATACTTTATATATGGTATCTTATGCTATTTTTGGTGGATGGTAATTTGTGTGAAAATATTTATCAATGGTCCTTTTTTTTAGAATTCAGGACCATTGGTCTTATACATAATATATATATTTTTACTGACGAATAATATTATTGATAACATATCTGTGATATGGACGGTGCTATCTGCTAAGACAAGTTCATAATTTTAATAATAATTAATGCATCTTCCTCGCGCTGATTTACTTTAGTATAATTTATTGTTCATTCAATTTGAATTCACCATTTGCTTAATTGTTTTAAAGATAATAAATAGTTAATTATTAACAATAAACATATAAAATTTGATTATTTCTGCAATGTTTTAGACATTATGTATTAACCCTTTCAAAGCATCCCTAATAACTCAAATGGAACCTGTTATCCTGTGCCGACTTTTTCGGTCCCGTGCGTATTTTGATCCTTTTACTTACACTTTTATTATTTAATGTTTAGCAATAAACTAAAATAAATCACTATTGTTTTTTTATTTAATTTATTTAATTTTTTATTTCAAGAGAAATCTCAAATATATTGTCTTTTTAATTTATATAGATATTTAAAATATTTACTTTCAATTTTCAATGTTTTCATAATATATAATTTTATAATAATAACTTGTTTATTTTAAGGAATCCCTGTGGCCATAGGTGCTAATAGGGTGAGCTTAGGGGTTGAACTCCAAATTTAATGATTATTTTGGATCATTTAAAGGTATGGATACAAAGCCTCAACTTATAATTGTTGGTTAAAAATAGTAGGGCTGAAGCCTTCACATTGAAATTCTCTATTTGCGCCTTAGCCTGTAGCTTAGATTTCGCTTTATTTAATAATTGTTCGTACAGTTACAGACGGTAGTATGATTACTGATCATTAATTTATTCAGACCAAAAAAAAAAAAATAATCAGTACAAAATGAATAGTTACCATGTACTTACTTTACATTACCTTGAGTTGTATTATACATTGTTTTAGCAATAATTTCTATTATCTAGACTTTCATTTACTATACAGTATGGTAGCAATTACGTATTAATACAATTAAACAGTGGCGCCCACTTGTACAATATTTGGTTGGGCTAAGTATTCAAATGTAATACCTATCATCACCACCACCTTCTAAGTTAGAGCAAAATAAAGACCGGGCATATGGTTTTATAGTAAATTTAAACATCACAGCGTGAAATACAGGGGTGCACTACCCCATAAAAGTACGTATTCGGCGCCACTGCAGTTCAAGCTCTTACAGTAGGTATTAAAACGTCAACTATCGTCAATCGATATTGAAATAAATACAAATTAATTAAATACAAAGTACAAATTAATACTATATCATCGTATATTTCGAAGCATATACTAAATAATCGTAAGTAGCAGATAGAAGACCCAGTTAGAAACCAATTTCAAATTCAAAACACTGCAGTTTAACTATAATTTTTAAATTCTGAGTGAAATGAGGAATGTATTGATTTTACCATGATGTTTATTTCTTTTGTACTGTGAGTAGATATTTAAAATTTTTGGTGTTCTCAAATTTGTAATGTCAAGTTAAAACATTCAAAGTTCAGCTTAACTTATTAAGAAATTTGTTTATTATACTATACCTACCACGTTTAGAAATATAAACTAATCCACCCAACCTCTTTCATTCAGAATCGTTTGTCGAGAGCAATAGTACATTGGTTTCAAGTTTAATAGATTTATACAATAGGTACCTAATACTATTCACCCATCCCCACTTCTCAACTGCGGTGTCTCAAACGACCTTGAGGTATCGTTCAATTTTTTTAAAAAAAATAATTTTTAGGAACTTATCAGTGTTTATGTATTAAAATAAATTTAAATATCTATCTACACTTATACTCACAGATTACTATCATCCAACTATTATCAAATGTCATCATGTAACAAAGCAATTACCTATTTTATATTCCATAATAATTCTCAATTTTATTTATGTTCAATTTATCATTATAAATCTTGATTATACAGTAAAACTTCGATTAGCCGAATTAATCGGGACCGCGCTTAGCTTAGATATGCGAAAATATATATATTGGTTTGCTATTTCATATAATATCATATTTCACTAAATATACACCTACTTTATTCGTAGAACGGCGTAATCAGAGGAACACTTCTGGCAATGCAACTTATGGGCAAAGACAAAGGAGGTCGTGGTGGTACAGTGGTTGTGACTTCATCTACAATGGGTTATAAGCCGTGTCCTAGCATGCCTATCTACACAGCGACCAAACATGCTCTTATTGGTTTCATTAGGTCATTTGGGGTAAGTATATGAATAAGTGATTTAAATAATTCATAGTTTATTAAGAAAAATGTACCATATATTTTTTATTATAATATTGACCATGCAGATGAATAATAATAAATTTATTCAGTATATAATAAATCATCAATTTTAATTTTCTTAATGTAAACATATATAAAAAATATTTATATTCGTTTTCTTTCAATAAAATAAAAACATGTAATCACAATTTAAAAGCAATCAACATAAAACGTTCCTCATAGGAAATAGACTAAACAATACCAAACGTTCTAGTCTATAAATATATAATATGAAATAAACGAATACATTTCTGTTACTTTTGTATTTTTTATACTGTACTATTATCCGATTAAATGCATTCTATATAGTATAATGTATTCATATTAATGTATTCTAGGATCCTTATCACACAAATTTAACGGGAATTCGAGTAATAGCTTTATGTCCAGGAATGACGTTAACTGACGCTATACCCGAAGATGTAAAATTGGCGTTGTTGTCACCTAATTTTATTCATCTCTGGGATAAAGACGTTGCATCTCAAGCACCCCAAGCGTAAGTCGTTTATTCATTATCAAAGATATTTTTAAACGTATTTAATGATACTTTGAAAATCCATGTATTTCTTCCCAGAATTATAATCCTTTTAAATGATTAACGCGTCTTTCTTTAATTTAAACATATTTAAGCTCCTCACCCTCCTATAGAGATAAGTTATCATGCTTAACTTTTAAGTATATCTTCAAATGTTTATTGAGTAAGAAGTATTCTCTTAAAAATGTATGTTTCAGTGCCCAAAGTGTTGGACGTGCATTAATTCACGTACTACAGAAAGCTCAAAGTGGTTCGGTTTGGGTTGCTGAAAACAACAAATCAGCCAAAGAAGTCAAGTTTCCAAATTTTTAATGTAGTGACACTTACATTTTGTTTTTCTTGTTTTTTTTTTTTTGTTATGTTTTTATTTTTTTAATTAACACGCTAGTACGCACACTAATAACTCGCGATTGTGGACGAATCGATGTGTTTTTGTTTTTATATTAAAACCCATAACGCGATTATATTACGTATATATACTGGTTTATTCGTGAAAATCAGAACGCTTTAATAGCTATAACGCTGTATACATATTTACATTATATTTATACATATACACATATATATATGTATATATATTTTATTATATTATAATCAATATTTAATAGTTATTCGATTTTTCAATAATTTTATAAAAAAAATATGTTAATGTCATTTTGACAAAAATTTATATAAATTAATATCATAACATACACAAGAACAATACATGATGCTCATGTTAATCGTATTATACAATATATACTATTATAATATATTGAATGATATAAAGAAAAAAAAATTGGTTTCAACTATAGACCATTATTGTTCTCATATCTTAAAATTTACATGATATTATTAAATATTTTTATGAAAAGGATTTTTTAATAATTGTTTACGCTTTACACCAATATTAATAAATAGTTATCCAAATTTTGTACCATATTATTGTATATTTTTAAAATAATCATTGGCTGTGAAACTCTTGTTTTGTGATATGATATGCTATTTACAATTTATTTATATAACACCAATAACACTATGTAAAAAATATTGTTTTATTGAATAAGTTTAAATTAATGACATTTCCCTGGGACCATGATATTCGTTTATTTTTACACAATCATAGCTAATTTAATTCATGATTTTTTTTCAATTTTACAATTTTATGTGAACATATATTTAATTCATATTATAAGTTTCATAAAATTATTTAACATACCATTATTCAAAATAGGTACTTATTTAAAAGAAAATAGCATATCAGACCACAGCCTATGTATAAAATTGATATTATATACGTAATATAATATATACATTTTTATATGCTTAACGTGTACCATTATATTATTAATTTGATTTTATATAGTAATATATGTATACCAATAAAGTATATACATATTATCTCACAAAGATTTCCTGAATTTAAATCATAGGGGTTATAGAATTATTACATTACTTCAATGCTTTAAATCGGTAAATCTCTGCAGAACAACAAATGCAAATAAATTAAATGTCTTCTATATAATATCATTAAAATATAAAATAATTTACTGAAACTTTTATAATAATAGTATAACATATTGATTATAGCATGTTTGTTATTTTTTTCATGTTGCTGATTTTGTTAAAATAAAATATAATTCAAAAATAAAATTAACCTGATTTTGGAGAAAAAAATAATGGAGTAATTTTGAGGATTCGAAACATGTTCAACAGAGAGTTTATAGATGGAAGGTTTAACAAACCTATACATTATATCTAACTACAGAAGAAACGCATCTATATTTTAGAGTGAAGAAATGTAATTAAAGTATATACTAGAAATGGGTACAATTAGAACATAATATAAGATCAAATTACTTAAACTCTTCCCTCTAACTAGCCAATTCTGTAAATTATTAGGTTTAAATATATAAATAATAATAAATAAATCAATATAGTTATTAACGGTTACTTTTTATTATTCATTTTTCACTTAATAACACTGGAATGACATAGTAATCAATAGCATAACAAATGTTTATTTGAGAGGAAATCGCTTCTAAGATTTTTAGGGGTAGGTGGATCATGGATAAATAAATTACTACTACTTTATCCGAATAACATTCTAAAATGTTTAAGTGGTTGTCACTTGTCAGTAAAATTTTAATTGTTTCTCTATAGTTATAAGTTTGTCACACCACTTATAATAATGATAATAATTAATTAAGATGTAAGTGTGATATTTCAAATTGTAATATCAATATACTATAATACTTTATATTACCTACTTTTATTTGAAGTGAAAATGAAATTATATTAATATGATGTATTCAAATAATCAAAAATATCAAACAATTAAATTAACATAAATTGATTAATGTCCAAATATAATACAACATATTATATTATGTACCTATGAGGTGATTAAATGAAATCAAATTTGAAAACAATTGTTATTTTTAAGAATGCATTGCATACAAAATTGTTTAACTAAAGAGCTAATGTATAAGATAAAGAGTTTTAAAATCATTCATATCATAATCTAATACTATTTATCCATTAATAAATAATAAAAGTGACTAGTAAGTATAAAAGTATATTTATATAGTGGGTCAAAAAAGTCTCTGTACACTGTTGTCAAATTTTTGATAAATTAATTTGAGGTTGTATGAGCACTGCTGGTGTTGTAATTTGGTATTTATCCATTTATTAAGGATCGCAAATGTACTAAATCATTTTAAGAAATAACTTGCATGCAAATGCTGAAAAACTATTAGTCATTTGTTTATTTTTCAAAAATATAACGACTCAAAATATACCCCGAAAAAAGTAACAGAATGGTTATTATGTCGAGTTGCAAAACAACTTAACACACTTTTACAATCACCAGATATGAATCTTATAGAACATTATAGTTTACTAAGTTAAAAATATTATTACTATTTTGTATGAAAACTTATTTATTGTTATTTTCCTGAAATTGTTAATATATATACACATGTATAAAATAAATAAATTTAATATATATGTTTTATATTTTAAAAAAAACAAATATTTATCATTTTTTAAAATAATTGTTAGTTAAAAATATGAAGTTGTTCTACTTTTGAATCAACATTTTATTTTACTGAAAAAATCTGAGTACAATGTACAGAGACACTTTAGATGCACTGCATATGATTTGTTTTCCCAATAAAGTTAATAGTTATAGTTGAGTTTTATATTTTTTATACATTTTGTAAATTAATAAATTATCTTAGTAACTAAAATTTATAATTTTTAAAATATTAAAACCATTAATATATATATATATATACTGGGTATTTTTGTTGTTAATTATGTAACTTATCATTTAATACATACATTTAATACTTAAATTAATAGTATTTAAATTTTAAACATCAGTCACTACCTATATAGTAGTTTTTTCTTTTTTTTTTCTGTAAAATTAATTAGTAATTAAATTAAAACATTATTTTTATAAGTAAAATAATAATAACAATAAATCACATAATACAGAGAAAAAATTTCTTATTAAAATCACTTAGTAGTTTGATAGAACATATTAGAAATTGGTTATTTTTTTAGGTTCTTACGTAGTTGTTAACATCAATTTCTACTGTTAATACTTTTTTAGGTATGCACATTATTAAAACTATATGGGGTGAGTAAATTCCAGTATTTTAAAAATTTTTCAGAATATCTAAATTTTATACTAACTTCTTTAAGTAATAGTTTGTTAATATTTTTATTTTTTTACTCGTGGATATTTTTGATTCTTAATTCTGATAACAGATTTTATATTATATATGTTAAGGTATATGACTGCAGTAGGTGAATGTTGACAGTAACCGATGTATGTTCACATTTACCAAAAATCGTAGTAAATGTTGACAAAATAGTCTTAACACGTTCATACACCAGTGATTGTTGACATGTACCATCAGTGTTTGGTAAATGTTGACCACATTTGAAGTACGATGTATTTAAAAGGTATTTTTGTATTATTTTGTAGGATCGATAACATTTTCGATTGTTGTAATAAATAAATAAAACTATATATAAAAAATTACTATAAAATACTATATATTAAAAAATTAATTTGTTAAACTATAATTATTTATGAATTTGATATCTATTTAATTAAATATGTTGTCAGACATGTTAACATTCATTAAATAACTATTGTGCATGTCAACAAATACTGGTAAATGTCCGCATTGTGAGATATTTGAAATAATTGATAACATTCACCAAAATCATCAGTAAATGTCAATATACACTAGTGACTGTCAACATTCACTGCCATGCGGTCATACACCTTAACACATAAATATATATATCAGTCCCGAGGTTATCGGTATTAATTTTATGTTTATAGAAATGGTCGTCTTATATATCCCTGGCGAGATTAGATGATAAATTATTATTCAAAATATCGTAAAAATAGCAACCACAATCAGTCACTTACGCCTGCTTTTTGGTATGGTCCAAAGTAGCAGTCTTTAGAAAATGTAATACAATTTTATAAATTAGAGCCAATGTAAGACTTCCCTGCAATGTATGTAATCTTAATCTTGAAGATTTCTAGCTGATTTGACTATCTGATTCTTAATATATATTCACAAAAAAGCTTTTTCTACTCTAACCAATGTAAAAAATTAATATTACATAACATTAACTGCGCTTCATATTTCAGATTTGATGAATCAACATCAGATTTATCACCTAATATTGAAAAATTATTAGCTAATAACCCCCTTCATAAGTCTCACTGATGTTTTTTTTGTATATTATTAAAATATGTGCAATTTAAAACTTTGTTTGATTTAAATACTTATCTATTTAATTATACATGTATAGAAGAAACATAAATAAAAGCAAATCTTGTTCATAAGATGGCCCGCCAGCTAAATGTTATTTAAATTATAGTCCGCTCCCAAAATAGTATAGGTAGCCTTGATATAAAGCATGTAAGTAAAGTAATGAAAAATAATAATAAATATCAATAATAAAAATCAAAAAATTGTTAATCAATTTCAATTTTAAGTCAAGAATTATAAAAATGTATTCTTAAATTTTTGTTAGGTGATAGTAACAGTATAATTATGATCAAAAACTGAGGAATCATTATACTCATCCCTAAAAATAGGTTCACTGACAAAAATCTTAAGAACAAAAATACTTGAATAAAGTTAATAAATAAAATAGGTAACATTCACTGTTTTGTAGCTTGAATAATTTACCATCATCAACTTAATAAATCGTTAATATCTGATATTGATAACTGTTTAACATGTTGAGTTTCTTCCTGTTTAGTCCATAACTCATTCCAATTATTTGCTGAATTTTGAAGTGACATTGGTTTGTTTTGTGAAGTAAATGAATTATTATCAAATCCTAATAATCTACCTTGAAGACTTGCTGGTTTATTTTCAAATCCCATTGATTTTGATTGAGATAATGAACTTGTGGTAGGTTTTATTTTATTTGACCAACTAATTTGATTTATATTTGAATCAATTAAACTAGATGTGAGATCTTTAGGTGCTGGATTGGTTTTATTAGATTTTTCTACTCTCGGAGTAAGAGGAAAATCTTGTTGGAACATTTGGAATGATACATCTTGAGATTTTTTTGCCCTAGAATAAAATAAACAAAAAAAATTCTATAATTGTTACATTTATGGACATCATTAAAAATATTTACATTAGTTACATTTGTAAGAATTAAAATATTATTATTAAAACAGTGTTCTAATACATTTTACTCATGAAATCATATTTCTTTAATTTTAGAAAACAAAATTTCTAATAATCATCTTATTTTCATAGAAGATGATAAGAAATTAAGTAAAAATATAAACTATAAATATTTAAATTACAACAAATCTAATAAATCTTATTTTAAACAGTGAAATATGTGAACAAAATTAAATTTTTTTAATTCTGGCAAATGACATAAAAAAAACCACTAATTTTTAAGAGTTTCACAGCATCTTTCTTTTCAATAATGGTCAAATTTATAAATAAATTACATTATGTAATCACAAACTCTGATTAACTGTAGTAAATTAACAATTTAAAAATATATCAAATATAACAAATTGTGAATTAATAATGTTTTTCTGTGAAATAATAGAAAATCTATGATGCTTTAATGTTGATACAGTACATAATACCAAATGTTCAAAATATATTTTTCATATTTTCTAAATTAAAAAATAATTCATAAGATTTCAAATACATAAACTACATACTTTGAGTCATCATAGTTGGATGATAAATTATTTGCTATATCATCAAACCCAGATAATTGCAAGGAAGGTTTTTCAGTATGATTCTTAAATTGAAATTCATTTATTAAACCATTTGACTTAGTTGTTTCATTTTCTAACATTAAACTATTTGGAATTGTTCTATAAAAATTTAACAAATTATTTTAATTCAATATTAAAACAAATTATATTAAAATAGTTAAATAAAATATTAAATAAATTACAAAACATAAGTATTGATTATTTACCTATTTTGTTCATTTAATTGTTGTAATTTAGCTCGATGTTCAGTTTCAACACTGGCTACCATTTCTTTAACAATGGATATTAAAACATTAAATTGATTCAGTGTTAATGTATTCTCAATACACATTGGTATTAAAAATGGTAAAACACTTAGAGCCATTGTTTCTTTTGTTATATTCATTTTTTTGTGGGAAAGAATAATCCTATAGACGCCTACAATGTACAAACATCAAATTATTCTTTAAACAAAAAATAAGCTTAATTTTATTACCTAAAATTCCCATAATTACAGCAGGATCTTTGGAAGGTATTTGGGGTAAAAATGGAATTATATCATCCAGTACTAACCATCTATCTAAATATTCAATTAATTTTCCTATGCATACAAGGCATTTTACACGAACCTACAAATTTAAATAAAAATATAATATATAAATAATACATAAAAAAAATTAATTAAATCAAAACAATATAAAATTAATAAATATAAATTATTGATGTGGGAAATTAAACATAATTTACAATTTTTCTATTGTACCAAAGAAATTAATAAGAATTTAAGTCTGTAGTCTTTTTTTTATATTGAACTTCTCATCTAATTTGCTATGCCTATGTAAAGAAATAAATACTATTTTTGATCTATAAAACAATGTTTAGTAATGTTATAATATTATAAATTATTTATATAGAAAAAAAATGAATGGAAATTCAAATTATCACACTGCTCAGAATCTTCAATAAAATTAGAATACATGGTTTTTTACTCAGATTTAGTTCCTTAACAGCAAATGTCTGATAAGATATTATGCATTAGACTAAACATATTATTTAATTATTTTAATCTACTGATATATATATTATCTAATCTTTAGATTAATAAAATATTTAATTGCATATACATTTATTTAACATACTGAAAGATCTGATGTTGACAAGCATAATCTTTTTATTCTTGGTAATAAAGCATTTTTCATGGAAGGGCCATCTACAAGAGCAGCTAGTGATGGAATGACTGATAGACAAGTTTCTTGAACTGGTTTTGAATCCAATTCCAATGTTTTATACAACATTGGTAAAATGTCAGATTTTATGTCTTCTGGTGGTGCTAATTTTAATAATAATTCCATTTTTTGAAGAAAAATGAATGGAACCTATTAAAGCAGAACACAATAAAATTATGATTATTTAATAAATAGTAGTTATAAGGTACATACTTGAACTGGTTCATGAACTTTCATTATTGGCTTTAAGCATTGCAAAACATGATTAATAAACTCATCTTTAGTACAGTTTTCACAAACATAGAAAATATTTGGCAAAACAAATGGAATCATTACAGGATTGACACAATCTTTTACTAGACATGGAAGAATCCTAGATATTTTTTATAAATAAATATTACTTTGATTCATTCAAACAAAATATTTATTTTATTTTTGGTTACCGATTAAGACAAATTCTATGAGGTAATTTTTCCATTATTTGAGGCAAGCCTTTATAAAATTGTGATTTTTGTAAATTATCCCATTGAAATAATGAATCCAAATAGTTTAAAGTTTTGACACCAACATCATTAAAAAATTCTATCTATAGAATTAAAATGGTTAGTATTTACTTAGATTAAAAATAAATTTCTTACTTTTAAAAATTCATGTTCATCAAGTCTATCATCAGATCTAAAACTTAATAACAAACTTAAAGGTTCTCGGAGACCAATAACAACATTTGACAGATTAGGAGTATTATTTTTAATCTGAAAATTGAAAATTTACAATTAAACAAACCATAATTGATCAATATACAATCAATTTTATACTTCTTGCATATTGCGCTTATATGTGGCCCAGTCATGATTTGCTAGTAATGGTGCATTTCCTTTGTTATAAATGGCAAAAATTAATATTCCCAATGAAAACATATCATTGGCTTTAATTTGATTGTGGCTACATCCTAATTCTGGTGCTAAATAGTCTAAATTTGGTTGTGCCCAAGGATGAACATCTACTTTATACTCCCAGCTAGACCATGTAGGCTATCATGCAAACAAAATAAAATTAATTAGTTTTTAATTCAGAGTTAATCAATTTGATTTGATTCTTACGTTGGGATCGATTGGATTAGTACTATGAGAGCAAAAATCAAAACCAAATATTTTCCAAGCACCTTGTTCATTAATTATGACATTTTCTGGGCAGAGGTTATGATGAAGAAGCTTAGCATCATTGTGTAAAAATGTAAGACCTTGACCAAGTTGCATTAGGCCATATTTAATATCAATATCAAAAAGACTATAATCTTGAAAATCTTTTGGTACAGGCTGTGGGGTATTTTCCATTTTACCAAGAACATTAGCTAGACTACAGAATACAGGTTCTGTCGCAAAAGCTAAGCTTTCTCTGGAATTTTAGAATTGTATAAGTATATTACTTAACATTAAACATACTCTAATCATATAGACCTAGATTCTTCTAAAGTATGTTGAACAGTTAGAATTTGAGGATGTTTAAGTCTAGTTAGTTGGGCAACACCTTTTTTAACGACTTCTATTATGTGTTCTCGTTCAGTTTTTGACCATTTATCCAACTGTCTTTTTTCTAATAGAAATATTGATGCCGGTTGTTGTGTTGATTTTTTGTAACCGCTATAGATTTTCCAAAGGAGACCTTATCGTAAATAATTGATTTATCAAACGTGTATTATAGATTGGGTAATAATACAAAAAACAAAATATATATACACACCAATACCAGCACTTGCAATATGCTTTGTAGCTTCATACTCCCTAGTAACAGGATTACCAGGAAGTACTGTAGATAGCTGTGACATAGTATTTGTAACAGTAGAACGAAATTTATTTATTACATCCATACTTATTGAGTTCAAAAACAAAATTTTATTAAACAAATTTTATCTTAAATTTCATTGTTCTAAATTACTTAAAAAATGAATCATTACGCTGATAACTAATAGCAGCACTGATAAATTAAATATGATAAAATATTGAAAACTGTTATCAAAGATAATAATATAATAATGACTATTAACACTGCAGTGTTTGGAATTTAAAATTGGTTTCTGAGTCTTCTATCGGCAATTTACGACTATTTAGTATATGCCTAGAAATATACGCTTATATAGCATTAATTTGTATTTATTTCAATGTCGATTAACGATAGTTGACGGTTTGATATCTACTGTAAAAGCTTGAACTACAGTGGCACCGAATACAACATCATAGATAAATTATGAATAGAAAATCCATACGATATGTTAATTTTAAAATGTAAACGATGATCAATAATAAATAACTCTGTACTCATCATAACCATCGCCAACGACCATACCACGTTGAATACACCAGTTCTCGTCCGATCACTGAAGTTAAGCAACGTCGGGCGTAGTTAGTACTTGGATGGGTGACCGCTTGGGAACACTACGTGCCGTTGGCATCCTTTATTTTTTTCTTTTGGTTTTATAAAATTTATATATGATGCGAGAAATTTGTTTTAACTGTGTATGGTTTTTATCTTACTTCAATTTTTATTTAAAATATTTAATAAAGATAAAATATCTTTATTATAATTATTATTACCACTATCAATTGGGTTCAATTTTATTGTAGCACTAGACAATATTGA